CTACGCAAGGAGAAAATAATTTCAATCTTATTCGTTCCTCAAACGAAAGAAATTATATTTCTCCTACTCTCCACTCAGTACTACAAACAACACAACAGTTATATGGTATGTCATGTGCGGTGCACTCTTGAGACCAAAAGAACGGGGGCTTAAAGACCCAAAGAAAGAGACACTTTCAATCTGTTTTCTACACTGTCCTTTACATAGCCATCTTTAGCCCCTTCGCTCCTCCACCGTCCATGCCGTTTGAAAAGCCTATCAGGAATTCCCCGATTTGCAGCAACACTCGCCCCACCTGATCTCAAACTGTGCAAACCATAGCATTTAATGTCAGGCACATATGGTTTAAAGGCCTCAATAAACACTTCTCGTAGCCGAGTATATGACATTGATTTGTTATCTGATCTAAAACAATAACTTTCTTTTGTTTTGCACATATTCCTAAACACAAAGGAATCAGAGTCAGCGTTTTTGCAAAATGAAGATATTTCCAAATACCTTTCCAAGCACTTTACAGGACACATTTTTGTATTGGTTCTACCAATAACCAGCCAGGCTCCATCCCGATACACATCTGTTTTGAACTCTCGATGAAAACTGTCATATAAGCATCATAGAAGATGAGATCGTCATATTTCACATTCAGTAATTCAGAGGAACGTAAGAAACCAGCAAAAGCAAGAAGACACATAGATACAGTTCTCAAATTATATACACTAGGCTCACGCATTTTATCATCAAACATCTTTTCAAGCAATTCTAACGTGATAGGCTCCTTCTTCTTCACGGGTTTCGATAATTTTCGCTTGGCTGCTTCTAGTACATTAACAACTAGGGCATTATCAGTAGGAGACGATAGCCCAATAATATTATGAAAGTGCCTAATGCTATAAAAGGCATTTTGCACCGGCGAATAAGATTCTGATCTTTGTATCACGGATAAAAGATATACAGCACTATGCAAGGGACTTAACGGTAACACGGTTGGCATACCGTTAGTAATCGCCCATTCTTTCCATGCACGGAATCCATACTCGTACTTTTTTGCACGTGGACGACGCTCTAGCATGAGACAAAAGAACCGGCACATCTCCAGCTAGCTGTCTCACACTCGGGGGGTAGCGTCCCTATCTCCTCGGAAAACACGTGCAAAAATACATCTGTAAACACAAAATTCAATATTGAACACAAAGCGCCAACATTTGGAAATTTAAATTGCTCATACCAAACAAACCATTTCCTTGTCTACTCGGCACATATGCCTCTTTACAAGTGGGTAAATACACAATGTCCTTCACTTGTGAAATGAACGAACCCCCGGGACACAATAAAGGCCAAAAGTTTGCAGAATACCATTGAGGTACTATCAATGTGGCTTTACAGTGGCCTCTAGCCAAATGTTTTAACACCCTGGCCACTAAATACACTGGCGGTACTATCCAGTTATTTCCTTCCGTCCAGCTCATAGTAAATGCATCGACTCCTCGTGAACCCGGATTCCAAAACCTTGAATAAAACCTGGCGACTTTGTTGTTATAATATGAAGCAAACAGGTCTACCTCATATGGGCCCCACATGGAACTAAGGTGTTGAAAAACATAGTCAGCTATACCCCAATCGTCTGTGTCTATGATTTTACTGAGGTAATCAGCTCTCTCGTTCTCAGAGCGAGGTAACCACTGCATTTCTAAGTGAATCTGGCATTCAATACACAAGTGGAATATCTTCAAAGCAATGTTCTGCAAATGCTTCTTCATAGATCCTTTGGATACAATAATGTCAACATTCTTGTTGTCGGTAAACCATTTGACTCTCTGCGATTTCAACTTGGACACAATACTCTGCATAACCATATACACAGCCTTTATCTCTCGATAGGTAGAGCTCGCTTTAGCCTCATCAGGAGACCACTGACCATGTGACTGAACGTCACCAAATTGAACACAGTATCCACCATACCCGACATTACTTGCATCACTATATACAACCCGTGTAACAGTATTCTGCTCTATCAAACACTTCTCAGTATAGTTGTTTATGTTGCTTAACCAAAACTGAAGCTGTTGGATGCTTAGTTCAGAGAGAAGTACACTGTCATTCCATGATACAATATCAACAGTTTGCATGGACAACGACCTCGTCATAAGCTGAGCAACAGATCCGAGCACAATACTCATGCTTATTATCTGCCCCACTACAGAAGCAACTTTTCTAACTGGTACAGTCCCGTTAACCGACAACAATCCTTCAACACACTGCATAAGTTTGTCCACTTTCCTCTGTGGTATAGACAAAGCCATTAAACGTGTATCAATGATAAGCCCCAACCATTCTAAACATTGGCACGGCTCCCACAGTGATTTTTCTACCTTAGGCACGAAGCCCGAAGAAATGATATCCTGCTTTACAATATTCGCAACATCTGCGGTATTGTATTTAGAGTCACAGGCAAGGAGGCCATCATCTAAGAAGGTAACGATGTTATAACCCTTACTCCTCCAATGCTTTACTAACTGCCGAATTACCTTTGTAAATACATATGGTGCTGAGGACAACCCAAAAGGTAGTACAAGAAACTTATAAAACTTTCTAACCGTGCCTTCCTTCCATGCAAATCCCAAAAAACTGAGTATGATCTTCAAGTATATCTAAATGATGGTAGGCAGAATGAATATCGAATTTAACAATCCAATCATTTTTCTGTATATATAACAAAGCTGTCCTCCAGTCTTCATATTTGACCGATTCCTTCCATATATGTGTATTCACCACCGAGAGATCCAGGATCAATCTCTTTTTACCTGAAGACTGAACGGAAACAGAGAGGGGGTTTACGACTGTAGGTTTTTTGAGAGCATTCAACAACCAAACCTTTTCGTACCAAATCAGCTATAGCCCCCGCTACAAAATCTTTATGCATTATTGCTGACTTATTGTTGTTTAAATCCATATCAGGTGGAGTAGAATAAAAGGGAATCTTGTAACCATTTTCTAGAATGTCAAGCACAAAGTTGGAGCAACCTATATTTCTCCAAAATTGTACACTGTCCTTTAATCTATTCTTCACTATGATTTCGGCATGGCCCTGCTCGTATTCAAAATAATCATGAGTCAGCGCGATCTGACCTACTTCATCAAAAACACCATACTTAACTTTGGTGTGCTCACTAGTATTGTCCTCCACTCCCTGAAGTGCGTCCCGCTGTGGATGATTGCTGCTGTCCGCTTGTAAAGGGACAATGACGTCGCCAGTGTTCAAAGCTTCCACACGAGAAACATGCCCCGCTGGAAGAACTCCTCCGAAAGGGCTGATTGACGCTAGGTACAGATTCAGCAGAAGTAACAGTAGCAGAAGCTGCACGACCACCTCGAGGCCTGCTGTAGGGACTCCGTGTGAAACGCGCATTCCTTGCCTTGAATTTCCGAACAGCTTTACTCTCAGCCCTTGAAATTCGCTTGTCGTCGTCTGAGTCAGATGCAAGATCTCGGGAAACATAATTTTTCACAGTTTCCCATCCACCATCAGAAGTGTCGGCAATCCTTATCAGTTTATTACGCTGCTGAATACGTAGTACTTCTGTATCTACCAGATCTGAGGCGTAATCCAACTTATTGTATTCAAGAGCAAACTTAATCTGCTCCAAGCTATCCAAAGTCTCAGAATTGAAACTATGTTGAATTTTATTACCTTCTTTTTTCCAAACTATGTCCTTAGCAGCCTTCAACTTCGTGAGTTCTTTAGACGTCTTTAGAAATTCGCCACGAAAACTCTCCAATCTATTTTCCACAGACTTAGCAATTTCTGCTTTAGATTGGTCCAACTTCAACCAAATCTCGTCTAGCTTGTCAGAGATAGGTTTGTTTTGATCCATGTTATAACTGATAGGTTAATACTAGACTCGAGCGCACCGCAACTGAGAATGCACTTCGAACTCCCGCCTTTCCTTATAAACCCATAACAGAGCCATCTAGCGGACATTCTTACATCAACAAGTAGTACTTTCCTACGCAAGGAGAAAATAATTTCAATCTTATTCGTTCCTCAAACGAAAGAAATTATATTTCTCCCTACAGGGAGGCTCAATACTCACCACAGGAAGGCTCTATACTCGCTACAGGAAGGCTCACCACAGGAAGGCTCTATACTCACTACAGGAAGGCTCTATACTCACTACAGGGAGGCTCAATACTCACCACAGGAAGGCTCTATACTCACCGCAGGGAGGCTCTATACTCACTACAGGGAGGCTCAATACTCACCACAGGGAGGCTCTATACTCACTACAGGGAGGCTCAATACTCACCACAGGAAGGCTCTATACTCGGTACAGGAAGGCTCTATACTCACTACAGGGAGGCTCAATACTCACCACAGGAAGGCTCTATACTCACCACAGGAAGGCTCTATACTCGGTACAGGAAAGCTCTATACTCACCACAGGTAGGTTCTATACTCACCACAGGGAGGTTCTATACTCACCACTTGAAGGCTCTATACTCACCAAAGTGAAAGCTCTATACTCACCACAGGGAGGCTCTATACTCACCACAGGAAGGCTCTGTAATCACCACAGGGAGGATCTATACTCACAACAGGGAGGCTCTATACTCAATACAGGGAGGCTCTATACTGGCTACAGGGAGGCTCTATACTCACCACAGGAAGGCTCTGTAATCACCACAGGGAGGATCTATACTCACAACAGGGAGGCTCTATACTCAATACAGGGAGGCTCTATACTGGCTACAGGGAGGCTCTATACTCACCACAGGAAGGCTATATACTCACCACAGGAAGGCTCTATACTCACGAAAGGGAGGCTCTATACTCAGCTCAGGGAAGCTCTATACTCACCACAGGAAGGCTCTATACTCACCACAGGGAAGCTCTATACTCACCACAGGAAGGCTCTATACTCTGCTCAGGGAAGCTCTATACTCACCACAGGACGGCTCTATACTCACCACAGGGAGGCTCTATACTCAGGGAAGCTTTATACTCACCCCAGTGCATTCTTCGCATACATGGCAAACCCTGTCAGCACAGCTACGCTCATCACCATGAGAGACCCCCTCAAGATCCACGTCTCCATGTCCACGCCAGGCTGACTTGTGACCACTGGAACAGCAAATACTGATCTCTTGCTCTCACTATAACCATCTGTTATTACCACTCTTCTTTACTACTTTTAGCGCGACGGGCAGCTTAGTGGTTCGATCGTCAAGCCGGGTTCGATTCCGCACATGGGGGCAATGTGTGCAATGTGTGAAGCCCATTTCAGGTGTCCCTCCCGCGATACTGCTGGAGTTTTTTTCAAAGCAGCTAAAACCCATGCTCATTCATTGATACTACCACCAACATTTCCTGCTGGAAGCTCTACAGCAGGTGCTTGTTGTTAGGGGCCTTTAACGGGATCGGTCGGTCAGGATGGTTGACGTGGTTGATGACTGTAGTCGTATCCTAAATGGTCATGCTATCAACCACTGGCCCAGACAGGCCGCCATCATACGATATTTCAAACAAACTTCCTAGGAACCGGATCCAACTCTGCGTTAATCATTTCATAACTTGACTGGTTTGTTTGCTCTGCGACCAACACTACTCAACCCTATCATTACGGCAGCCTTCAAATAAATGGATAGTCGCCACATCCACTATAGTGAGTGAGTATGGTTTTACACCGCTTCTAGCAATATTCCAGCAACATCACGGCAGGGGGATACCAGAAATGGGCTTGTACCCATGTGGGGAATCGAACCCGGGCCATGGGCGTGACGAGCGAACGCTTGAACCATTACTCTACCACAGTGACCCCACATCAACTATACTAACCAACGCCGTCGGGGCGGTGGGGTAGTCTAGTGGTTAAAGCGTACGCTCGTCACGCCGAAGACCCGGATTCGATTCCCCACATGGGTACAATGTGCGAAGCCTATTTGTGGTGTCCCTCGCCGTGATATTGCTCGAATAATTATTGCTGAAGCTGGGTAAAACTTACTGACTTTTCTACAAAACGGTAGACTTACCTGGGTCATTTGACTCAATATTGATGGTGACCGTGGCGGTGGTGGAACGAGGAGTGTCACCAGTATCAGAAGCAGCGACGGCAACCTCGTAGTAGGACACGCTATCTGCATCCAACTTTGACGACGTGTACAACCCACCGACGCCGTCACTTTCCCGCATCGTCAACACACCCGGCTCTTGAATGCCATTACCTTGTAGTAACAAGAAAACACAGTCATCCAAACACAAGCGCTGTAAAGGAAGATAGTCGTAAGTGCCATACATTAACATTAATTTACGACTATCTTAGCGCTAAGAGAGCTTCGAAAATCTAGGCCCAGGGTATCTATTTTGAATGTATGCGAGTGAGTGAATATTGCATGGCGGCGCATCAGCAATTTTGCAGCTATTCGCAGCAACGTGTATGTGAAAGAAACGGTAATATCTAAAATACTTTTTTTAAATCGCACATCAAAAGGTGGGGAAATGGTTGTGTGTTGTTTCATACACTGCACTGACGTCCAACTCTTGGGTGAACAATCCAGTTTGAGGATATCCACACCAACCTCATGATTGGCCACAACCTTCACAGACATCACAGTGCATCCCGATGGAACAGTGTCTGCTCTGTGGAACATTACGCTATCTTTCATTACATGTTTGCTATAAGCGAAGCCAGTTGTGGTGTCATCTCCTTTCTAAAAATGATAACGCTGGAGTAGTGTTTCAACACGGGAAAGACACTGATACTGTTTGTTCACTACGGCTTACGGTCTAAAACACCGTTCAACCTCGGAACCTAGTGCTGTTTTTGAACAGCTGAACCAAGGCGTCAAATATCTTTTAGTGACTTACGGCTTGACCCCACTTCTGGCAGTCAACAAAAAAACGATTGAGCCAGTATTGGTTTGCGCCGCTCTTAACATCATTCCAGGGTGTGACACCAGAAATTAACTTTAGAAATTACCAAAAGATACATGATAACAAACCAGTGTGCTATATTAATTATCTAAATACCTACAGGAGCATAGTCGGAGTAGGTGTGGAAAGGCGGGTATTGTGGAGTAGCCCAGTGGTTCAAGCATCGGCTTGTCAAGACCACGAGCCGACTTCGACTCCCTGTATGGACACAAAGTGGACCGCCTACTTCTGGAGTCCCTCCCTACTCCTTAGGTCGTGAAGCTGCTAAAAGCGGCGTCAAACCATACTCACTCACTCACTATTACTTGCATATCAGTCTGATTGTCAATTCATGTTATATTTTCCAAAACGGCCCTAGCAAACCTACTCGAGGTAATTGACAGTATCTCGTAGACGATCCTTCCGTCTTTCCCATCATCTCCGTCCTCGGCGGTGAAATTGGCCACCAAGGAACCAAACGGAACCGACTCCATAACCGTCACGTTGGGGAATTTTCCGTTGACGTCAACGGCGGGTTCCATCCACTCAGGCGTGAACTCATTTGTTGGATCCACCTAAATGGCAATATATATCGCTTTCTATTTGTCATTACAAGAAATCAAGCCAAAAGCCACATGTCGTCAATTTTGGAGTGAGTGAGTGAGATTAGTTTTAAGCCGCACTCAGCAATATTACAGCTATATGGCGGCGGTCTGTAAATAGTCGAATCTGGACCAGACAATCCAGTGATCAACAGCATGAACATCGACCTACACAACTGGGAACCGATGACATGTGTCAACCAAGTCAGCCAGCCTGACCCCCCGATCCCGTTAGTCGCCTCTTACGACAAGCATGGGTTACTGAAGACCAGTTCTAACCCGGATCTTCACCGGTCATGAATTTTGGACGTAGGACAAAAGTTGCAAATGCTGTGGCGCTATAGGTGACAATGCGTAGTGATGCATAAATCGTGAACCCGTGTATAGCAAACAACATGCGGTATCAAAAAGTGATGTGCGGAAATGGCTATCAGCAATTGTGAAAAAATGCATAATTTATTCAATTTCAAGTTTTCGACGTTTTAAAATTCGATCGGAAGTCTGCGAGCCCGATTGTTACATACATAAAACTTGCATTTTATTGATACATTCTTTCGTAGGGACTGCTTTTAAAATGAGAAAATTTTCAGGTATGTGAAGGTCAAATTTGGTTGCTGGTTCGTTACGTAAAATGGAAGGAAAATGTTATAACGCTATTCTGCACATGAAGCATCTGCATCCTATAACAATATATTACAAAAGGCTCAGTTATGAGAGAAAATAACTCTTATCAAAATGGTTGCCGAGGTGGGATTGTCAACAGATACAACAAATTGATCCTGAAAAGAATGAAGCCTTTAAAAGCAGAACACTGTTGATTGTGCATCCATAATGCACGTACGTACGCACGCACGCGCACATGCACGAACACACACACACACACACACACACACACACATATATATATATATCGCTATTGTTCCATATATTCAGTCTGTTCAGACTTTGATTATTGAGTAGAAAATTGTATCAGACTTCTGAAAATGTTTCACATATCAAGTCTATGCAGTTATAAATGTCGCCAAACAAGTATTCTCTATAAAATTTCAACTTTTAACTATGAATTCTGAATTATTCCATTCTTTACATAGAGAACTTTCTTAAGATAAAACAGTGAAATGATGTCTGATATTCATTGTCTCTGTTTAGTGTTTGTTCTGTGTTACCGTCACGGTGACTAATGCCGTTCCCGTCAACGCTTGTCCGTCCACTGGAGTATCTATGGCAACCACCGTCAACGTATGCTTATAGTCGGTATTGGCAAGGGCTTCATAGTCGATGTTGGAAGGGTTGGCGTAGAGCGTTGTTCCAGTGATGTTGTACATGCTGCCGACGTTGGTGGGCGATAGGATGTTGATACTGTACTCTCCGTTGACACCCGCGTCCTCATCGGTAACGACAAAGTCAAACAGGGCCTGACCTGATGATTGGATTGAAAACAATCGTCCTTAAATCTTCGGCAAAACAGCATCTTTTAGAAAATACATACCCCAACCAAACCCAATATCGTCATGGAGAGAAAACAAATTAATAGTAATGCAAATAATCTAAACACCCTGTCCCAACCACCCAACAACATAACATAGACGGAACTAAAGTACACCTTCGGGTAAAAGAACATACTGACTGACTGACCGAGTTTGGTTTTACGCCGCTTTTAGTAATATTCCAGCAACATCACGGCGGGGGACACCAGAAATGGGCTTCACACATTGTACCCATGTGGGGATCCGAACCCGGGTTTTCGGCGTGACGAGCAAACGCTTTAACCACTAGGCTACCCCACCGCCCCAAAAGAACATACACGTCAATGGTTCTTAGTGAACAGATTTAAACAATTCATAAATGGCTATTCATTGGTAATGCATTTGATAGGGGCATGCTAGATGCCCTTTGGATGTATGTCTTGGACACTGTATTTAGCCGGGTACGTTTTTATAACGTTTGAAGTTTCCTTGTCCAGACCAATTTTTAAAACTTCTTTGGGAGGCTCTTGGAAGTTAAACTGATAAGATAAGATAAACTGACGTATTAAAATTACCCCAAGGCACCAACTGTGGACTTTCTTTTGCGCATCAGTTTATATGAATGAACAGCTTCTTTATTGCACTAGGGTGACATTTAGGTGTAGGTTCTAACTTGGCTGATGACGGTGTTAGATCATACACCGAAACGTTGCTCCTATTGTAATAAAGAAGATGTGACTCAATGTATCTTATCCTTCCATGTCATGAATGTTTACTCTCTGTTGCAGCTTGTAACACAAAACAAAATCAAACAATTCAAAATCCCAAATATAAAATAAATATTTACCAATACATACCATTCTAACAAATAGAAAACAAGTGCAATAGCACACAGAGATGTTACATTCCTGTGTATGCTTTGGTAACATCAGTTACACAAATAATTATGTTTTCAGCAACCGAAAAGATAAACAATGCTCGTGAATATTTCATTTTGACACTTCAAGAATAGGTTCTATTTCTGCAATAAGTGTTGTTCCGATGATCGAAAAAAATCGAAAATCGATCGAAAGAAGGATTAAAAATGATTATCGATTGTAAACAAAATATTTTTGATTAATCGGAATTTTGTTGATTTTGTATAACACCCTTGAATTAAGTAACCATTTAATTTGATGAATATTCACGAACAAACATGCGCTCAACAGCGTAAAGCTATGCGCATTGTAAAATTTTAACCACTTTTATTGTTTAATTACAATTCCAGTGTCTTTCTTGCATGCGTGCATTTCATTGCATGACAGTATTAGTTATAAAAAAACGATTGACGATTACATTAAAAATGTATATATACTCTCCCAAAAAGGAAACGCATCATGAAAATAACAATTTCATGTTGCAATAAATTAAAACGTGATTCATTTTACAAAAGGTTTTGCTCTGTTTATGAGTCCTATGGTGTTTATGTTTTGAAACATCCGTAAAATACCCGTAGTTAACAGCATGATTTTCAATTTCGGCGTGTAGTGTCACAGAATACATACATGCAATGCACGTGAAAGTTGGGGATCAGATAGTCTCAATGATGGGTATAAAATGTTGATCGCTGTCTGTCGTTTATTTACTGTATTTGGAATATTGTTGACGAACGCAAAATGCCACGTCTAAGTGAAGCCAGCCGTCATATCGTCATTGGTTTGCTTGAAGCTGGCCAGTCTCAACGTGCAGTTGCCCGACGCATGAATGTTCACCAAAGCACCATTTCACGGCTCTGGGAGAGATATCGCCGGCAGAATGCGATAGCGATAGCGACCACTGCGGCGCAGGATCGCTACATCCGGGTATATCACCTGCGTCATCGAACAGCTACGGCGACCAGTACCGCTTGACAAATACACGGTATGAGGAGGATTTCTGCACAGACCGTCAGGAACAGGTTGAGAAAGGCTGGTTCACGTGCCAGAAGACCTTATTTTGGCCCTGTGCTTCGACAACAACATCGTAGACATCGAGTTCAATGGTGCGCCAACGTTCAGGCCTGGAACCTACCGAATTGGGGTAGAATCTGGTTCAGTGATGAATCACGATTTCTATTGGAACGACGCGATGGAAGAATGCGGGTGTACAGACGTCGATGTGAACATTTCGCCGACGCTTGCGTTCCCCAGGTGGACAGATTCGGCCGGGGAATTGTGTTATGATGTGGGTAGCGATCACCTGCCGTAGGAGAAGTGATTTGCTGATGATCCAGGGCAACCTGACAGCTCAACGGTACTGTGACGAAATCCTGCGCCCACACCTACTTCCAATCATTGATCGCCAGAGGGAGTTGTTTCAACAGGACAGTGCCAGGCCCCACACAGCACGTCACACTAGAGACTTCCTCCAGAACCACAACATCAATGTGCTCCCCTGGCCCTCAAGATCACCGGACTTAAACCCGATCGAACATCTGTGGGATGCCCTGGACAGACGGGTGCGACGCCGTAACCCTCAGCCCCAGACACTTCAGCAACTCGCACAGGCACTACAGGCAGAGTGGGCTGCGATTGGGCAACACGAGATTCTGAGACTTATTCGTTCGATGCCAAGGCGATGCCGTGCAGTTCTGGATGCCCACGGTGGTCACACGAGGTATTGACTTCAGCGCCACCACACGTCTCCATGTGACACTCAAACCGACTTTCCTCGAGTTGGTGCCAAAGACGGATAAGTCTGCATTCCCAGTGTGCAATTTCGCTATATTTCATTGACTCATAAAGCCTACAAGATGTTTCAAAATAAACATAAAAATACAGTTGAAATTCCTATATGCGTTTCGTTTTGGGGAGAGTATATTTCGATTATAATCGAAGTCCTCCGATAATCGATAGTGGATTTGGTTTCCGATTCCCAACACTGTCTGCAATGAACTATTTAAAAATATAAAGCTACTGATGAGTAACCGCTTCATGCCTGTCACGTATTTTCCTGAGACTCCCAACGGTATATATACACAGAACAGGATTCCATATTGTATCATATGACAGAGTTAACTATTCGTACCCCGTACAAGTACCTGGGACGTATACATACCGGCCAAGTCACCTTCTGTAACAGATGCAGTGTACGACGGATTGGCAAACAGTGGCGCGTTGTCGTTAATATCCCAGATGGTAAACCGAAGATCCGAGTTAGTTGATTGTCCCCCTTGATCTGTCACGGTCAAGGTCACGTCTTCAAGCACAGTCATGCCGCCTTCGTAATCGATGGACTCATTAATAGATAACTCTCCTGTTTCTTCATTGACGGACAGCATATGTGCATTAGTACCTAATAAAAAAATATGAAATTATAGGAAACTTTCAAAAATATTCAAATATGCTCCGGTTACATAAGTGAGATAACGCTGTATCTTCAGCGCACCCAGCAACTTGCGCATACTTTTCTATATAGGTATCGTTCACTTCCTTCCATATTTCATACAACTAGTGTAAAACGTCGGCTCCTTCTGTGTAGTCCGATTACAACTATGATTGTGAAGCACCTACCGGAGAGGGTGTACTTGAAAACGTCTCCGAGGTCGGCGTCATCGATGATGAAGACATCTCCAAGCACGGTGCCAATGAGCTGCCCCTCTGGTATGGAGAAACCCGGCGCCGTGATGGAGGGCGGTTCGTCCATGACGTTACCGACATTTACGACGAATGATACGTAGGTGGTGTGAATGCCGTCACCAGCGCTGTTAACGGTATGTAATTGAGCTTTACGTCACAGTTTGTTTTATTTGATATATGTTTCTTTAATACTATGGTGGTCTTTGACAAACATCGTTTTAATATACGTCTTGTTTTGGTGCATGGAATAATATGGTTAAACTACGTTTCAATGCATACAACTAAACGCTGATTATCTGAGAAAATCTGAAATTACATTCTAAGTGAATGTACCCTTGATTTATGAATCAACTTTCTGTATCTTTGAAAAAGAGTGAGTGAGTTAGGTTTTACACCGCTTTAGCAATATTTGAACAATATCACGGCGGGGGACACCAGAAATGGGCTTCACACATTGTACCAACGTGGGGAATAGAACCCGGGCCATCTGCGAGACGAGCAAACGCGTTAACCACTAGGCTACCCCACCGCCCCCCTTTGAAAAAGAAATTATCCCTATCAAATGTGGAGTGGTATATATTTGTAACTGCTCCACTTACCTAATGATGGTGGAGTGGTATCTGTCAGTCTCAAAATCTAATTTTTTCAGTATAATAACCTCCTCTCCTCGAACCTCGAACAGGTCACTAGTGCCTTCTAACGCAAACGACACGTCGTCTCCATCAGGATCGGTCGCCGCTAACGTGAAGATGGCGGAATCGGCGGTGACGTTTTCATACACCACTATTTGGTACTTTGTGTCTGAGAACACTGGAGCCATGTCGTTCACGTTGTTGACGTACACTTGAACAGAGGCAGTCACGTCTTTTGGAGCGGTGCCGAGGTCTACAGCGCGGATTGAAATGTCGTAGCGGTTGATGCCGCCCTCAGCATCAAGTCCAGACTTGACTTGAAGGTCGCCTGTGTCGTAACCGATGACAAATGTCCCCAGAGCGTCGGATCCGTCATCTTGGACAAAAATATGCTTACTACTATAATGTTGCTTCTCACTAGGACATATCTATCTTGAAATTACATATTGTAACATTTTGGATATTCCGGAATGATGTAATACATTAAGAAAGAGACCAGGGTAAAAACTATGACATGTTGGTAATTTTAGTTGTTTAACACCTCAGTCAAGCTCTATGAGGAAGACTTGTAAATAACAGATTATGGTCCAGGCAAACCGGTAACTGATATTATCAGCAATACCCAGCCAGACGATAATCTCTTACCGAGACAGTTTTTTAGAAAATGTTTGAAGACAATAATTTGAACAGATTCTTTTGGATTCAGGTATAACAAAATGAGTATTTGTTTGCTGGACAGGCTGGACAAATATTCGGCTCCTTCTTTTGGATAATAAAATATCTGCAAGTTCACTGTAAGTACATTTACATCGTTATTTTGAACAATGGTCAGCCAGAAGCAGCTGGGCAACCATGGACTATTCGGATTGTAACAGAAATCTATAAATTATGAGATAAATTACATACCAACTGTAACTGAAGTAATCTCATACACAACCACTCCGTCGTCGGCCAGATCGTCATCAGTCGCCGTCACTGTCGTTATTGCCGTCCCCGGAGCAGCGTCTTCGTCAACTGTGACGTTATTGAGGTACCCATTGGCGTCAGGTACAGGGTCACTCCACACAGGGTCGAACTCGTTCTCTGGTTTGACCATCACCTTCACTATCGCTGTCCCCGTGTTGGCCTCCCCCTGGTCTGGTGTGTCCACTGCCGTGATGACCAAGGTGTACATGTAGTCATTGTCCTTTAACGACTCGTAGTCTAACGGGGTGCTGCTCGTCAATAACTGCTTTCCAGACATCTTGAACTTCGGGTCCGTGTCATCTCCGCTGCCTATGGACACGCTGAAAATGGCGTTGTTACCGTCGTCATCGTCAGTGCACGTCAGGACAAGTAGGACAGCATCTGTTAACAGAAAACAAGACATACATGAGAATAAAATGAGATTTCGCCCGTCTGAGTTCTCCAAATATAACATATGTTGCGTACAATATGAAAATATATACACTATTACCGGGTCATACAAAAGGTTGACAATACTTGTGTATAAACATTCTGTAAATTCTGCACACATATCATAAATAAATAGAGCTGATATAGCTGAGTCATAGTGAGTGAGTTTAGTTTTACGCCGCTTTTAGCAATATTCCAGCAATATCACGGCGATGACACCAGAAATGGGCTTCACACATTCTACCCGTGTAGGGGATCGAACCCTGGTTCTCGGCGTGACGAACGAAAGCTCAACCACGGCTGCCCCACTGTGGTGTAGCCGTTGTTAGCGTTCGCTCGTCATCAAACATGAACAACTAAATGTGACCCCACTCTGAAAACAACAATATAAGGTTGTAATAAAGCAATAAAAATAAAATAAAACAAATACTAAAAAACCCGAAAAAGCACCATACAATATATATTGTAACCCTGCCTCCATATCCCTCAGTGTTTTAACACACCATACCCCGTCAAACACAGTGTCATGTTGTCTGAATGTGTGAAGCCCATTTCTGGTGTCCCCCGCCGTGATGTTGCTAGAATATTGCTAAAAGCGGTGTAAAACCAAACTCAGTCAGTCAGTCATGTTGTCTGAAGTGAATGATGAGTGTTCAAGATTCATGAACACACCTTCTGCAGTGTTTTCTGTGACTTCCGTTACGAAGACAGCTGGATCGCACACAGGAGGTAGATCATTGATGTCCTCTACTGTGATGGTGAAGTCCTTGGTGGCCTGGAGTCCGGCCTGGTCAGTGACGGTCAGTGTGAGGGACAGCGCAGTTTTCCCATCAGCTCCCTCCCTGTCAACGGTCTGGCTAACAGAGAGCTCGCCAGTGGCTGGGTCTATGGACAAGTAGCTACTGTCCGTACCTGCAGCAGATCGAGCAGAAAGCTGAGTATCAAGAGTATTATAATATGTCCTCAACTTATTGTGCAAAGCGTGGGCATGACAATATCAGTAGAAGTGAAACGGTCGGTGGCAATGGCTCCGTGAAATGGTCAGTTGCGTGCCATCGCACCCAGATTGCTTGGATTGTTGCTCACAATGATTGTCTCTTGCACAGGTATATGTCTGGAATATTGCGGCATTAAACAATGAGAATATACTACTACTACTAATAATAATAATAATAAGTGCATGCATAATGCGCTAAACTCCATTCACTACATGAATGCTTATAGCGCTAACAGATATAATCTGATAATTATTACCCCGGATAACCCAAACTGCCTGTGAGGCATTAGAAGGTTAATAGTCACATAGGTTAATAGAAGGTTAATAGTCACCGGGTACCCATTTTCTGCTGGGGGAATAAGCGAACAATTAATAACATTAAGACAATAATAGAGAATATTTGATGTAGAGGTATGATACATGCAGAATAAAATATAATGGTTTTAAATTAGTTTCTGGTTGGGATTGCTTGCGCGATCAATAGATCCGATCCTGGTCTAAGAGAGAAAGATATATATTCAGTATGGCATTGATGGTACTGCGGATGACTAATTGTGTATTGCCTGTATTCAGCAGTACTGGGTGACTCACCACTGAGGGAGAAAGTAAGTGTGTCTCCAGCATCAGCATCCGTGACGGCATACTCTCCATCCACCCCTGTCCCCACAACCTGGCCTTCCGCCATCGACGCTGTCCCTTCCAAGGTTATCACAGGAGCTTCATCTATGACGTCATTGACGCTGACGTGTACGGTGAAATCCGTGGTGAAAGTGCCATCAGATGCACTGAGGGCAATAAAACATGTGCATTTCAATTATATTTGTTTTTGTGATACCGTTTTAAATATATTCTGAAATTGGTTTGAATCTTAATTGCGATTAAATATGATATTTAGGTAGTCATTAGGACATATTTTAATAAGCTTTACTAAATCGAATTGTTATTACTTGGGTGATGTTAGGAACAAGTTCACTGATATTGATGTTGATATTGGTAACGTGAAACTATTGCCACCATGACGGTGTTAAAACTAATAACATAGTATGGTGATAGACCATAGAAGCTATAAGTACATTTCCATTGGCAACAAATGCATTATGTACAGGGAACTAGGACTGTATTGCATTTCAAAGTGTGTCAATGTTCCGTTAAAACACTTCAGAGCGAAACAGACCATATATTCATGCTGACTCTGACATTAAAAGAATATGCCGACAAGTCAATGGTTATACTTTGTCAATATAGTAAAGCGTTACATTTGCTTCCCCTGAACTAATAGATGACCCCAAGGTTCAGCAATAAGGTTCAAGAAAACGTGGACAATATAACCAACATTATCGAATTGCCAATAATGTTATTCTACCATGACTTCAGTAAATACTGGATTGTGATTGGTTAAACAAGTCATTGTTTACTCACGCTACGCGTTCGGTTTTAAATCTGGTTTTATTTTATGAGTCACCCCAGCACAGTGGAGTTGCCTCCCTTGCGCCACTACGCTGTAGGTGTTGTATGTTGTGTTTGGTGTAAGTATATATTTCAGAGGATTATTGAGGTTAAGAATTTTTACTCACCGTACGACTAAGATATGAATAGCTTCCTCCTCGAAATTCAGAGCGGCCTTCACTTTTACGTCATATCCGTCACACAGGAACAGATCATCTCGTCCACTGGCGATAGACAACGTCACAGCGTCACCATCGTGGTCAACAACTGCAAGAGACATCACCACAACGTCTACAGCTGCGTCTTCATCGACGGATGTTTCGAAATCAGTCTGGTCAAACGCAGGTGCGATGTCGTTGACATTCTCTAGCGATACAGTAATGGTTCCCTGTGTCTCACGCGGTGTCTGACCATTGTCCGAAGCCTTGACCACGACTGTGTAGCTGGACACCCCTCCAGTAGCGGAATCCACGTCAAGTTTGCCTGCCACCAACAACCCTCCTGTCGCTGCATCCATAGAGAATCTGTCTGCTCCATCTGTTCCAGATGCTACAGGAAGTAAATAATGAGTGAGTGAGTGAGTGAGTGAGTTAGGTATAATGATGTTAATTGTTATCAACATAGAAGCTAAACAGATCACCACAGGTCCTATGACTGTATGCTAATATGTATGTTAATGAGGACATATTTCTTATCCAAGCTATTTCCAGACATTTTGACACCGACGGGCAAGGGTATGGTGTTGACAGCTTATGGATAATAACAGGAGTGAACCGCCTGGGATTCGATGTCACGATCACCAGATCATGACTCGGCCAAGGGAGGCAACAATTTCGTCGTCGCATACGTCAACTAATGAGTGGTTAAATGATACCCGACTTATGTGTGTGTAATCGTGGTTAACGACGCTGCCTATTGCCATGGCATTGACACAGACTTCACCGGCCGTCGTCTCGTAGTTGAAATATTGCCTACTACGGAGTAATCAATATTCACTTAATCAGTCTCCAGACGTAAAATGTTCTTTCTTACCCCCTTGCAAGAAACCTAACTGAGATAGTTGGTGTCAAACATATGTGTGAGTATACATAAGTATCTTCTTACTTACGAATATGCGCGTTTGTTTACAAACAAGAGAAAATCCGGTCACGTGATATGCAAATTAGCCTGTGGCAGTGATGTTATGCTAAGTCATCGCTGCGCCGGAGTGTGGATGAACTGAGGTCAGATTATGACGGACTACTTTCCTGAGCGTATTTCATTGAGGGCGGTGGGGAAGCCTTGTGGTTAACGCGTTTGCTCGTCACTCCGAAGACCCGGGTTCGATTCCCGACACGAGTAGAATATGTGAAGCTCGTTTCTGGTGTCCCCCGACTGTGATATTGCTGGAATATTGCTAAAAGCGGTGTAAAACCAAATTCACTCACTCAGTGTATGCTTACTCGGTGTGGAGACACCATGAGTATATTCGGAATTCTGTATGTATACCCCTCCTTATACTCTGTAAGTGTACAGCATGCTCGGTATGCATACCCACCCGTGAAGATCCAATATTTCATTGATTAGTTTCTCTTGCTTTAGTTGAAACCGTTACGTCTGGCTTGAACGTTTATGGTTCTAGAGTGTTAAATACAACTGATAATACATATGGCAATAGTCTCTATATCGCTACAGTAAATTATAATTACAAGTAGATATCATCACACCGCTATCTACCAACACAGGTTTCAAGAACACAATTTACCAGCGGTTACAGATACAATACTGTATGAAACTTCTCCATCATTGCCGAGATCGTCATCAACAGCAGTGAAAGTCACTGCAACATCGCCAGGAGCTAGATCCTCTTTCACGGAGATGGCGACGAATGTTCCACTTCCATCTGAAGCAGGTCCTGTCCACACAGGGTCGAACTCGTTCTCTGGCTTGACCGTCACCTTCACTATCGCTGTCCCCGTGTTTGCCTCCCCCTGGTCTGGTGTGTCCACTGCTGTGATGACCAGGGTGTACATGTAGCCAGATGTTTCAAGACTATCGTAGTCAACGAGGTTAACGTCCGTCTGGAGTTGCTGACCAGATATCTTGAACTTTGTCTGAGAGTCGTCCCCATCTCCAACACCCATGACAAAGACAGCATTGTTGCCAGAGTCACCATCAGAGCAGACCAAGTCCAACAAGGACGTGTCTGGAAACAGAGACACCAATATTAAACTTATACCCAGGACAACACATTATGCAACATTTTAAAGGGCATGTTATTGCATTCCACTTCTACATTTTATTGACCACTCTACATATCAGGTTCCATAACCAATTTCTTTGAAGAGTACTGGAGACGACTTCAAAGGACTGGAGACGACTTCAGACTACACGCTCGGAGTCTCGACTTAATACCACTATACGCCCGGCGCCTTCAATCGGGAAGGAGTATAAAATCGTTATTAAATCGTAGTTCATACTCAATTGTAAAGAGGATACAATGCCTGACTTCACGTCTACCATTACTTTAGGTATAATACTGAAGCTCCGTTCGGAGACCGTTTACTAGTGAAGCTATCGCGATAAAAGATATCATGACTTACTGACTGACTGAGTTTGGTTTTACGCCGCTTTTAGCAATATTCCAGCAACATCACGGCGGGGGACAACAGAAATGGGCTTCACACATTGTACCCATGTGGGGATTCGAACCCGGGTCTTCGGCGTGACGAGCCAACGCTTTAACCATTAGGCTACCCCACCGACCCCAAAAAGATAGCATGACTTCTATGATGATGATTAAGCCTATATAGCTGTAAACACCACACATTACTGCATACTGAAATCGCTGTTCTTTCTATGAGTACATGCATAGAGACTTCCCGAAACAGTAATGATCCATTGAAAAGTCGATCCTGGTCAATATGCCTGAGCATATATCAGTATTTATCCCATAAACGTTACCCGTAGCAGTATTTTCTGTGATTTCAATGCTGTATTCTGCTGGGTCAAATACGGGGGCGTGGTCATTGATGTCGACAACTGTGACGGTAAAGTCCTTTGTGTCCTGGAGCCCGGCTTGGTCCGTGACCGTCAGTGTGAGTCCGGTCAGTTCTGTGACGCCACCCACCCCGTCTCTGTCGACATGCTCCGCTACTGACAGGTCGCCGGTTGCGGAGTCGATATTCAGGTAGTGACTATCTGCACCTATAGTAGATAATACAACGACATACATGTCACCTGGCTTGGTGATGTGGGTTTATATTGTTTCTTTCGTTTGTTGCTTAACGCCGCACTCGGCAAAGTTCGAACTATATGACGGTTTGCAATACGGCGAGCATGACTCTATGCAATTCGGATACGATGTGCCTTCCAATAGTTATAGGAAACAGTTCTGTCTGGGTGGCCATGGGTTAACGTAAAATAATGAAAGCCAGAAGTGACAAAGGCTTGAGAGTGGTAGGAGCAAGTTTGGGTTGAAAATGTTGGTTTGAAGTGAGTGAGTTTGGTTTTACGACGCTTTTAGCAATATTCCAGCAATATCACGGCGGGGGACACCAGAAATGAGCTTCATGTTGGTTTGAAAAGTAATTCAATTATTTGTCGGCTTGATGCGTGAGTGTAGGAATGGAGGGGGCTCCTGGCGGTGGTTGTGGTCGGCAGTGCTCGGTGGTTGGGTTAAAGACATGAAAATGGGTATTTTAATAATTGTAATCCAACACCTAATAATATAAAATGGCTAACCATCACATATTTCTACACATGTCAAACCTGAAATGTATATTTATCATTTGAACACATTTTGCGACCATTTAGCAAAGTGATCAGGTTCTCCCAGACTACAGAGTTGCGTCCCTTTCCCGAACTCTCTGATCTCCAAACACTCAGTCACAATACACGTCCTTATTTCAATGGACGTACGTACGTACCTGTTAATGCAAATAATAGCACATCCTGTTGATCTGGATCGGTGACACGAAACCCTCCTTGTACTCCTGTAGCTATAGCTTGACCCTCGGACATGGTTCCTGAGGTGTCTATGGCGATGACAGGAGCTTCGTCTACCACGTCCAGCACCGTGACGTGCAGTGACACTCGGGACTCCAACGTGCCATCAGTCGCCCTGAAACAGACATCGAAAGTAAAGCAGCTCGACGTAGTGAGTGACATGTGTTTTATAGCCGCTTTGATGAATATTCCAGCTGTATTATGGAGGGTCAGTGTGATGTGGAGGGAAACACCAGATAATGCCGGTAAACACAGATCAGGAGTCGCACCTACCATCCTAGGTTTCTGGCTTACCCGGGGGAAGGAACCTAAACAACAAGATGCCTTCGTCCAGGATATCAGTGTCGAAGATAACCCTTTGTTGTACGTTGTGTTGTATAGTACAGTACTGTTATGTATAAACCTTTCAATTAATTAAAGTCAAAAATACCATTCACCATCCACCCACCCATCCAAACACGCAGGGACAGTGGGGTAGCCTAGTGGTTAAAGCGTTCGTTCGTCACGCTGAAGACCCGGGTTCGATTCCCCAAATGGGTACAAATCTCACAATGTGTTAAGCCCATTCCTGGTGTCCCAAGCCGTGATATTTGCGGGAATATTGCTAAAAGCGGAGTAAAACAATACTCACTCACTCAAACACGCACCCCCAGTCCCCCGCTAATATGACCATATTATCATTAAGCAGCTTTAAACACTTACCCAACATACACACCTAAAATGTTCCTGAGTATAAGCAACTTACATGATGTATAAAAGATGACTCTGGGCGGATTCGTAATCGACCAATGCAGCCTTGACCTTCACATCACTTCCATCAATCTTGAATATGTCATCCCTCCCAGACGTAATTGACAGTGTCACAGAATCGCCATCAAAATCGTCAGTGTTAATAGTTATCACGACACTGTCAACAACACTGTCTTCACTGAGGTCTGTCTGGTACTCTGCCTGATCAAACACTGGAGCGTTGTCGTTGACGTTGTCGAGGGAGACAGTGATGGTTCCTTCCACAGAGCGTGGCGTGGCGCCGTTGTCCGATGACTTCACTACAATGGCGTAACTCGCCTCACCGTTTGTTCCTGCGTCAACGTCTAAGTCATCAGCCACAATGAGTTCTCCTGTGTGGGCATCTATGATGAATATGTCCGGTACAGATGCACCTGAAGCTGTAGGAAGAATACCGATAAAATATCAGATGCAAGTATTGAAACAATTGCATCTGGAATGTCCCATTTCTATACCTCCATTCACAGTGTCCTGCCAACGATTTGCATCGGCTAAACCACTCGCTTATGAATTTTGGTAGCTGTTCCTATCACCTTCAACACTGACGTTTTTAAGTCATTGTCCATTTTTACAGCTACACTATAAGTTGTTCACTGGTCACGAGGGGGACATGGGTTGATCTACCCTCTATGTTTGTTTATGTACATCAACCCATGGGCTCCGAGGGACCAGTGAACAACGTATTTATCTTACCGAACACCTCAATGTTAATTATGAACTGTTTAAAGCACAGGTATTGGATCATAATAAGGAGTCCCAGAGTTAGGCAACAGCTTAAACACTACTAACACGAAGTACCAAACGAATTCCCACAGTTCGGCATTTCCAGTGGGTAACATAGAAAATGTTACTCGCTTGTAAACGGGGAACATTAATTTGCTCAGCCAATCAGAAAACGACGTTTATGTGTGACGTAAGATAAAAAAGCATAACACCATCACGAACAACATGTAATCATCACATTGTTAATCACATTGTCACCATTGTCAGATCAATGTAGTTTTTGGCGTTCGTTCAGACACATGTGACCCTTCAAAACTGATACTTGGTATAGATTTAGACGCTATAGATTTAGACGATAATAAACATCTTGGTATTATAATGTCAGGATCAGGAAGAAACACCACGTTTTATTGAAAACGACATTTCCTATTATCTAACAGAAACATGGTTCCAATGTCTGCATTTGTCTATTTGATGTGAAATTATTGTCAAAATACTTTTTGTACTTTGTTACAATTGTAATAATGTGTTGTTTGATGTTGCGTGTTCATTGTAAGATTTGAGGTTTTAAGGGGATTCCGAGGTGCCATGAATCCTAAATATCATGTTTTTCAGAAGAAAGGATAGCTGAGGCAACCAGAATCAACCCAGGCAGTGATATAAGGGACCGTTCATAACTTATGGCTAGGTGTGTGTGTGTGTGTGTGTGTGTGTGTGTGTGTGTGTGTGTGTGTGTGTGTGTGGTGATTTCATGGGTGGGTGGGGGGTGTCTTAAATTTTGTACACGTTCCTAGGTGGGGTCAGCAATTTTGTACGTAAAATATTTAGAAATTTTGCTTTTAAAATATGGGAAGGGGGAGCATTGCTTTTTGTACATGACATGCAGGGGGATCACTTACTTTGTACATACATTTTAAGGGGTCATTCACATTGTACATGCTTCTCCACAAAATCACTAAATCCCCGATCATCCGGTCCCCCTGGTCTACCCCCGGCCATGAATTATGAACACCCTAATACTGCAGGAGAGAATAGTTTGACAAAGAACATATGCATTTGATTATATCTGTAATATAGGACAAAATAATGTAGTTTCGCAGAATAAATATATATGATAATATACCTGCAGTGATGGAGACAACTGAGTACGTGACCACCCCGTCGTCACTGTGGTCGTCATCAGTGGCTGTGAAAGTCGTGATCACAAACCCTGGTCCTTCATCCTCACTAACACTCACTCCTGTAAATGTTCCACCTCCATCTGAAGCAGGTCCTGTCCACACAGGGTCGAACTCGTTCTCTGGCTTGACCGTCACCCTCACTATCACTGTCCCCGTGTTGGGCTCTCCCTGGTCTGGTGTGTCCACTGCTGTGATGACCAGGGTGTACATGTAGTCTACTGCTTCTAAAGCCTCGTAGTCAAGGTTAGTAGAGTCCGTGAGGAGTTTAGAGTTTGAAACTTTAAACTTATTAGGGGTATCATCCCCACTCGCTAAGGTTAAGCCAAACTGGGCGTTGCTGCCGATATCGCTGTCAACACATATAAAATCCAGGACCTCGGTATCTGAAAGTGAAATGTAAGGCATGTGAAAAGGGTTATACTGTAGTTGTAAGGCATGTGAAAAGGGTGATGGTGTAGTTGAATCTAAACGGTTTTCAGTGTATATGTTGGGGGGATATTCAATTAATTACAGCGCCATGATAAAACATGGCCTTGAAGAACGTCTCATGTCCTACGAGTCAAATTAATAGAAGAATGTTTAATATATCACGAGTCAAACTGATAGAAGGACGTTTCATGTTTTAAGGATCAAGTTGATAGAAGAACGTTTCATATATCACGAGTCAAATTGATAGAAGAACGTTTCATATATTACGAGTCAAGTTGATGGAAGAACGTTTCATGTTTTAAGGATGAAGTTGATAGAAGAACACGTTTCATATATCACGAGTCAAGTTGATTGAAGAACGTTTCATGTTTTAAGGGTCAAGTTGATAGAAGAACGCTTTATGTCTCACGAGTCAAGTTAATCCTGCTATGGAATTACACCCTCCTTGGCAACAGTGAGCAGGTGAACAACTAGTTTCGTCGCCTTTAGCAATTAGACAGCAATATCATGGCGAGGACAGAATGAAATTCGCGTTACAGGCTGTGCCCATGTGAATGTAAATGAAGTTAGCCCTTCGGCGAGGCAAGCTAGCACTGTCGTCTCTGACTAACACAGAAGTGACCCTTGGTCTGCACGCAATGCTGAGACAACATATGTTTGTATAGGAGACCTAACTGGTGCTCCAGGTGATTCTCATATATACTCAAAGAAGGCTATGATTTCCAATATTTGCACTAAGGTATACATTTGCATTACCTCCAGCCATATTTTCCGTGACCTCGACTTCCAACACAGACGGGTCACAAACTGGATGTTGATCATTGATGTCCTCAACCGTGATCGTGAAGTCTTGTATTGCTTGTAGTCCAGCCAGGTCAGTTACGGTCAAGGTGAGAAACAGTTCCGTTTTAGCATTGGTTCCTTCTCTATCAACATTGGCAGCAACTGACAAGTCGCCAGACGATGAGTCGATGGTAAGGTAGGGACTGTCAACACCTGAAGGAATGGACAGAAGAACATCCACACATCAACGGCGGGGAACACATGTTTGTACAAACAAGCGCAGCAAATCATTTGGTCAGCAACGAACATTAAATCAAGATGTAAAGGATTATTGGGTTAGGTCCTAATTTATGGCTGGGGGTGATGATGATTTTAAGAGGGGATCACCCACTTTGTTCTAGGGTGGTGGTGGGTGGGGTGTGTGTGTCAATTTTGTGTGAGTGGGGGGTGTCAATTTGTACGTAAATTTAGGGGGGGGGTCTCATTCACATTGTACATGCTGCTCCATAAAGATCATCATCACCCCTTAGCCATAAAGTATTAACGGTCCCTCAACATGGTGTGAAGTACAATGAAAGCAGATTACCTTTGGGTTATTAAAGGACAACGGAAGGAGTGAGTGAGTATGTATTTACGCCGCTTTTAGCAATAGTCCAGCAACATCACGGCGGGGGACACCAAAAATGGGCTTCAAACATTGTACCCATGTGGGGAATCGAACCCGGGTCTTCAGCGTAACGAGCCGACGCTTTAACCATTAGGCTACCCCACCGCCCCGACAACGGAAGGAAGTCAAGTAAGGAGAAACTAGTTCGCAAAATACGTCCATCCAGCTTATAAAAGTTAACATCCTCGATGTCTGTTGTGGAGATTGATCGGAACGTATACCCTGGAGATATCGAGGATGAAAAGTTAATTATCTACGGTTTTTAAAAGCGGAGGATAAAAAAAAAGAAAACTAATTTTTATGAGTAGAGGAACATACGTTGATGTCAACATCTCAACAAACAGATTACCATAGAGACAATAATGGACATAAATCTTTCACCATGAGAAAAAAGAAAATAGTTTGGTGGATTTGTCTGGATTTATATTGCATGAGACCCACCACTTAAGACATAAGTAAGGACATCGTGTTCATCAGCATCCGTAACGACGTAACCTCCCTCTACAGGAGTCCCAACTGTCTGCTCCTCCGCCATGGAAGACGTGGTTGCTATGGTGATGACGGGCGTCTCGTCTGTTGCATCTGTTATGTCGATCTTGACAGTCACATCAGTTTCATGTACTCCATCAGATGCCCTGATTCATGACCAAAACGTACATTTGTAATTGATCCAGATGGAAATAATTATTTTCTTAGAATGTCTGTTTATCATACGTAAATGTCGAATGAAATATATTTCAGTGAGTGAGTATAATTTTACGCCACTTTTAGAAATATTCCAGCAATATCAACAGAAACGGCCTTTACACATTGTACCCTTGAGGGGAATCAAACCCAGATCTTCAGAGTGCCGAGCTACCCTACCGCCCCAGGAAAGCTTTAGATATATCAGCATCATTGTATGCTTTATACTGAAACAACTAACCTTATTATAAGAATGTGAACTTTGTCTGTTTCAAAATCTAGGGTAGCTTTGACGACGATGTCGTTTCCGTCGCACTCGAACAGGTCATCCCTACCAGTAGAGATGGACAGGGTGACATCATCACCGTCAAAGTCGACGTTGTTGAGGGAAATCACAGCTGTCCCAACATCACTGTCCTCGGCGACGCTGGTGTTGTATTCACTTTGGTCAAAGACAGGGGCATTGTCGTTGACGTTGGTCAGTGTAATGGTGATTGTGCCTGCTATGTCTCTAGGGGTACCTCCACTGTCTGCTGCCTTTACTGAGACTGTATAGCTGGACTCACCGTTGGTGCCAGTGTCGTAGTCTAATGGTCCCGTGACAATTAACTCTCCGGTGTGGCTGTCTACTGAGAAGATGTTGTCAGCAGAAGCTCCAGAAGCTGTTAAAAGTCAAACATTCAGCAAACGTCAAACAAACCACTCATAGCAAACACAAACGCGAATAGGATTTCTCCATTACCAAATCCTCTGATAACAGTTTGATTTAAATAAGTTTGTACTTAAAGATTTCAGCGTGTAGAAAAAATGAATACAATTCCATAAGCAAAGAAAGCAAGGAAAGACCATTAGAAGCATGCCTTTCTGAATCAATATCAAACTATCACTCGTCATAAAACACATGCAAAGGCACATCAAGCGTTCAACGGAAAATGCTATATATATGTTTTGTATCTGTATATGCGCCCTGACTTTTGTGTATAGTATTCCATTTGAAGGATCGATATTTTACATTGATTTCCGCCAACCAGGTGTACAGATAAGACATCTCAATCTATATTTCACCTACCATCTATTGCACCTGCGTTATCCGTAATTTATAAACATCGCCCTTCCCATTGCGAACAAACACAACAAACATCCATATACAATGGAAGTGTTAATTTCAGGAACATAATAACGGAAGACAGGACACGGTAGAAAGATGGATCCTCATGCAAATAAATAAATAAAATTTGATGTTTAGATATAGTAAAGTTGAGACCACAAACGTATTACGCGACCTGCTGCTAAATCATTAATAGATATTAAGTACTTCTGCGGATAATCGAGAAGGATTTCTTCAGTTGACATTTACCTGAATTTGTTCCTGTGATGGTGTAAGTGATGAGGCCATCGTCTGCCTTGTCATTGTCAGTAGCGCTAAATGTTGTCAGAACAGAACCAACGGCTGTATCTTCAGATATGACAATATCATGAAAACTACCACTTCCGCTTGAAGCCGGCGCTATCCAAACAGGGTCAAATTCATTTTCAGGTACAACAGTCACCTGCAATGACATAGGATTCATAGGCTTTAACTTTCATGTAAAACGTGGGCACCATCGGGACATGACATTGTCAGCGTCATACCGTTCAGAATGTTTTATATGATCTATGCAGCCGTTCCCACACTGTATGTAAATGCATATCTTCCAGGATCATCCCGCCATATAGCTGGAATATTGCTGAGTGCAGCGTAAAACTTAACTCACTCACTCCAGGATCATCATGTGATTTATGTTTGTGAAGCTTGGTTCTAATTCGTGATGTCAAAACTACACGAAGCCATAGATAAAAGCAAAGGTTTGTATTTTTTTCTTTGTTGTAATAATGAACATATGCTTGGGATGATAACCAATGCACTAAATATTTCCATTAAGTATTATTGGATGCCACAGCTGTAGATTGTATGATGACGTCCTGTAAGTAAGCATGGCCGTGTTTCACAAAGCAAAGCTAGCTCTCAGACAATCGTAAGTCCATGTTAAAGTATGGGAGTTATGATCACCTTCGCGCTACGATCGCTTTGAAGAACGGCCCGTGGTATACCTTGTGGGAAGCCCACTTCTCATTCACCTTGGTAAAGCGTTACGTGTTTTAGTGAGTGAGTGAGTGAGTATGGTTTTACGCCGCTTTTAGCAATAGTCCAGCAACATCACGGCGGGGGACACCAGAAATGGGCTTCACACATTGTACCCATGTGGGGAATCGAACCCGGGTCTTCAGCGTGACGAGCGAACGCTTTAACCTTAAGGCTATCCCACCGCCCCGTTACGTGTTTTACGCTGTAATGGGTAAGCTCATTATTACGCGTGACCCCAATTTATGATCTCTGGGGCATATACTGCTGTGTTTGTTTGTTTGTTGTATAACGCTGTAGTCAGCAATATTCCAGCTATATGACTGCGGTCTGTACTCGAGTCAGGACTAGAAAATCCAGTCATCATCAGAATGAGCATCGATCGATCATGGGATACGATTATATGTGTCAACCATGTCACCCGATCTCGTTAGTCGCAACATTCGACAAGCATAAAGCATGGGTGGGTGAAGATCAATTCTAACCCGGATCTTCACGGGTTATCCTGCTCTGAACTCCCCTACAAGGACAACCTATATATACATATTAGCTAAGACCTTGACGATTGCTGTTCCTGTCATGGGATTGCCATCATCGGGTGTGTCTACTGCAGTAATGATGAGGGTATACATATAGTTTGAGGCTTCCAGACTCTCAAAGTCAACAGCATTAGAATCCGATAGTAGTTTCAGATCAGCCATCTTGAACTTCCGAACTGTATCGTCCCCGCTGGCTATTGACGTTGTGAATACAGCATTGTTGCCAGCGTCTTCGTCAGTGCAGGTGAGCTGCAGCAGGTCAGAGTCTGAAGTGTATGATAATGATATATGAGATAATTACTAGTGTTGTGTGAACCTACGACTGAACCTTATAAACCAGTCCCTGTCGGATTTAATCTTGGATCCAAAAGAAATCGATTCTGTGGATGCATGCAAAGCAAACAGTAGGTCAGTTTGAAGCGTATTCAACTGACTAATATGGTATATGATGGGGTGGGTGAGGGACAGTAGCGTCACCGCCTGTCAACATGAAGTTCAGCTGGAGAGGACTTCCAGAAGTTGGGCAGGTTTTGAACGATTACCCATGATGATCCCAAATAACACACAATGGAGCAAACAGTACAAACTTCAGACCCAAAACACTCTAGGCACATGCTGCTATATCTGTTACACAAGGGTTGCCATACTGATATAATCCGATTTAAATATTTGCCAGATACTTCCTAGGACAACCTAGGGTCCTCTTGAGTTGCTTCCAGGGACATAATGATGGGTGGGTATGGGGATAACACTCACCAACAGCAGTGTTTTCAGTGACCTGGATCTCGTACACAGATGGGTTGAATGTTGGCGGGAGGTCGTTGATGTCTTCAACTGTGATAATGAAGTCCTGGGTGGCCTGGAGTCCGGCCTGGTCAGTGACGGTCAGTGTGAGGGACAGGGCTGATTTAGCATTGGCCCCTTCTCTGTTGATGTTCTGGGCAACTGTCAGCTCACCTGTGGCTGAATCAATGCTGAGGTAGGCGCTGTCAGCTCCTGTGAAGGACATACTTATCACTAACCCACTTCAATTACACAAATATTTCATCAGTTGGTTTTACTATCAGTTGAGAAACCTCGAATCTTTCTCAGGATGATTTGAAAGAACGTGGCATCGATACTTGCAGATAGTTTATTTAATTCAAAACATATATTTGTGAATAAAATCTGAATTATCCATTGTAATATTGTTTCTCTTTATATGTAGGTAAAATAATTCAATAAATTCGATATTAGATCCACGTATGTCCTCATACTATTTGGAGGTTGAGTGGAGGAGTTATATTGCAACAATATGTTGTATATTGATATGAGTTATATTGCAACAATACGTGACGAGAAGCAAGACGAATTAGATTAACACACAACAAATGCGGGTTTCGAACTTGGCTTGATGAGCAGACACGTGAAACCATCGTCTCCTGTCACAAGTGCATGACAAGATATGTCTTGCATTCAGAATGATCAACTATTTAGTTGCACTAACCACTGAGAGTGTAGGAGTGGACATCCTGTTTATCAGCATCCGTGATGATGTACCCTCCATCTACTCCAGTACCGATTGTTTGTTCCTCTGCTACGGAACTTGTGGTTGCCATGGTGATAACAGGTGCTTCGTCGATGACGTCAGTGATGTCTACTTGAAGTGAGACCTCGACATCAAACTTTCCATCACTAGCTCTAAAAACATAAACACGCTTTCTAAAATATTTCGTACATCATATGTTTTGTTTATGCTTACAGTTTAAGATATTGCCTGTATATTGTCAACTGTAACATATGATAATGTTCAGCCAAACTGTTAAACTTACTTAATTAAAAGTACATAGAAGGTATCTGTTTCGAAATCCAGAGCAGCCTTGACCTTGACGTCATGACCGTCACAAGTGAATAGATCATCGCGTCCACTCGCGATTGTCAACGTCACAGCGTCACCGTCGTGGTCCTGAATGTTGAATGTGATGACAACTGTATCCACAGCACTGTCTTCACCGAGGTCTGCCTGGTACTCTGTCTGATCAAACACTGGAGCGTTGTCGTTGACGTTGTCGAGGGAGACAGTGATGGTTCCTTCCACAGAGCGCGGCGTGGCGCCGTTGTCCGATGCCTTCACTACAATGGTGTAACTCGCCTCCCCGTTGGTTCCTACGTCAACGTCTAAAGGGCCTGCCACCAGTAAATCTCCTGTGTGGCCAATGACTGAAAACTTATCAGTAACTGTTCCACCTGAAGCTGAATCAGAAATTTGTAGAGTTGCACATTTCAGAAGTAATTGTAAAAAAGCCGCGTTATGTTTCTGGTACTTCTCTACCCTTAAAGTTCGGAGGTGTAATTTGTGACTCTCTTAAATTTTGACATATAACTTAACATTCATCTTTAGGTGCATGGATGAGCATTCTATGGACGTTCAATAGAATACCAGTAATTTAACAAATAAGAAAGTGAAGCATGGGCTGGGCTCTAAGCGCAGGACGATATACAAGGCGACAAACGTTGTCGGGTAGTGAGGTTAGATGGTTTGGGTGATGCCTGTAATGGTATCTGAATGATGTAGATCGCTTCCAAGGATGTCAGTCACAAGGGTATCTGGTACAGACCGCCGTAATACATATTGAACATTACCGAATGCTCCGTAAACAGAACCAAACTTATCGCACCTGCCTGAGATGAAAGAAGAAAAAATGACTATATGCACAAAACTAACAAATCCTACCGGGTACCCATGTATTGCGGTAATGCTGATTCTGCGTTACCATTTTCATGAGTTGTGTTTCAGGATAAAAATGATATTTACTCAAATGATCAGTTCGTTTCTAACAGATCAAAAGATCTCATTACCTGCAGTGACTGAGACGATGCTGTAGGTGACGACACCATCATTCCCATGGTCATCATCAGTGGCAGAGAACGTCGCCACAACACTACCAGCAGCAACGTCTTCTTCCACGCTTATCCCGCTAAATGTTCCACTTCCATCTGAAGCAGGTGCTGTCCACACAGGGTCGAACTCGTTCTCTGGTTTGACCGTCACCTTCACTATCGCTGTCCCCGTGTTGGCCTCCCCCTGGTCTGGTGTGTCCACCGCTGTGATGACCAGGGTGTACGACTCCACCGACTCGTAGTCCAACAGGTTATCCGTCTGAAGCTGCTGACCATTCATCTTGAACTTTGTAGATGTGTCATCACCATGTTGAACAAGGACATTAAATAATGCATTGTTTCCATCGTCACCGTCCGTGCATGTCAGGTCCAACAAGGACGTGTCTGAAAACCAATTTAAAAATTGTCCAAAAAGTAAGTGAGGCAGGCCTCAAAAAGTGTTTCAGCTATAGCACGACGGAATTGTGTCACAAACCAGCGTACGTTAAATCACATGTAATGAACGGATTTATGCAAACTATTTGCGAAGGTGAAGCCTTTAGCTTTGCAAGTGTTTACGTTTCTGTTGCTGATTGTACTAGTCCTAGTAAGATATCACACAAATATATGTAGAAAAATATTGCACAAGAATTGTTTTGAGTGAGTGAGTTTAGTTTTACGCCGCTTTTAGCAATATTCCATCGATATCACGGCGGGGGACACCTCAAATGAGCTTCACACATTGTACACATGTTAGGAATCGAACCCGGGTTTTCTGCGTCACGAGCGAACGCTTTCACCATTAGGCTACCCCAACGCCCCTAATTTTTATGAAGAAACATACCGGGAGCGGTATTTTCTATGACTTCAACAGCATACTCTGTCGGGCTGAACACGGGAGGGAGATCGTTTATGTCCACAAGTGGGATGGTGAAATCCTTGGTAGCAGTAAGTCCAGTCTGGTCAGTGACAGTTAAGGTTAGAGACACTTCACTTTTCCCTGTATCTCGGTCAATATTCTGTGCCACAGTTAACTCTCCCGTCGTTGAATCAATGGTGAAATAGCCACTATCGGAACCTGCGGATGAAGCAAACTTATTGACTATCAGAACCGTGAGTGGCGGAGATATTCTATGATGTGTTACACTACAAGTTCCTGGTCCGTATATGATGCTTATTGCAGATGTAACTCTTTGGGAATTCCGGAATGGAGTACGTCCCAAACAGCCCCTGCTGGTCGTTAGTGGTGACTAAATGGCTCGGATGGTCAGTCCTGGTTGATAGTAAGTTGGTCAACGTATCCGATTGCATCGATAGGTTTTCACAGTATAAATCACTGGATAGTGTGGTCCAGACAATATACTTGTACTTACATCTCACGTCCATAATCACACACGCTGGAGGCACCAATTCCCATGTGGTACAAAAGATGTACATATCAGGATGATGAAGGAATTGACAGTTCAAATACCGAAATGAATTGATGAAAAAATTCACTTTTCAATTGCATAAAATGCCTTACAGTTGACATCGGGCTGCACATATGGACTACAGATACAAGTTGAAAAAACCTAATAGTGCCACAATATTTTGCCATCTTAGATACTCGATGGAGCTAGATATCTGTAGCTGTTTGCCAAGGGTACACTTGCTCGCTGGTTGATGTAGAGAGAAAGACGTGTATCTTATACAGATGCACCCAAATAAACGTTAAGTGCAAGACCATACCAGACAGAGAATACGTCACGACGTCTCCAGCATCGGCATCTGTGACAACATATCCTCCATCCACTGCTGACCCTGTCGTTTGTTCCTCTGCCATTGAGCTTGTTGTAACGGTGATGACAGGTGCTTCGTCAGAGACGTCGGAAACATTGATCTCTAGTGATACATCAGTGTCGTATTTACCATCGTTAGCCCTGTAACAATGCATTGGAATGAGCTGATTAATCTACGGTTACCAATGATGAAAGACACCGAACAAATTCTGTGATAACTGAATTCTGTGATAAACATGACACGAAGGTCTCTATATACAGCTAGTATGATCTAAAGAACACCTTCAATGGTAGAAGGATATAGGTATTCAGTATTACCTTATTACAAGAACGTGGGTTGTGTCCGTTTCAAAATCCAGCGCACCCTTGACCTTGACGTCATATCCATCACACGAGAACAGGTCATCTCTTCCACTGACTACAGACAATGTCACAGCATCACCGTCATGGTCCTCGACGTTGAAGGTGATGACAACTGTATCCATAGCGCTGTCTTCACTGAGGCTTTTTTGGAAGGTGTGCTGGTCAAATGTAGGTGCATTGTCATTGGTGTTCAGCAACGTCACGGTGATGCTCCCATCCACAGTGCGTGGAGTCACCCCCTTGTCTGAAGCCCTAACACTGATAGTGTAACTAGCCTCTCCATTAGTAGCAGTGTCTACGTCAAGCTCTCCAGCCACCATCAGCTCTCCTGATACAGCATCTATTGTGAACTTGTCGGATCCATCTCCGCCTGACGCTGGTAATAGAATGGAAGTGAAATAAAAGAGTATGATTATATTGTTTTGCCATATTGAGCTGTATTCTTACCCACTGGTTTGGTAGGCTACACTTACCTTTCCACAAACAACTATTAATTAAGTATTGATTAGGGCCGCTCATCGGATTCAGGGAAGCGTACAAACGACTCTGCTTTTGAGAAATTTCTTAGGACTTTGGAAAAACGTTTCGTCACTCGTATTTAAGTAAGTGAGTATAGTGCTACGCCGCATTTAGCAATATAATGACGGGAACACTAGAAATGAGGTTCATATATAGTTCCAAGTTTGAAATATACCACTTAGCTACACACGTGGCATGGAGAAATCTGTATCATGGTCGAACGCAGAGTGCAACATAAAAGAACACAATATAAAGAAAAAACACATATAAAATACCTTATCAAACAGCGTTATGTCGGAGTTGAAGGGACAAACGTAAATACTTCGAGTTATACGATTTTCAACAGAGCCGCAAAATGACTAGGAATCTAAAGGAACAAGGTTTACTTTGAAACAACCGTAGATTACGCGAGCACAGTCAAACAGCACCCTAGTGTTCAAGTTGAAGGAACCTACGTAAATACTTCGAATTATACGAGGCTCGACAGAATCGCAAAATGATTAAATGAGAAATTCACAGGACCAAGTTTTACTTATAGACAACCGTACATTCGACACAAACGGTGTTTGAGTGTGTATGATAAAGAATCGGTCACAGCAGCACTTGCTACATGACGTTTAATGTTACTAACCGCTCACTACTGACACAATGCTGTAGGTGACATCTCCATCGTCACCTAAGTCACTGTCAGTCGCCTGGTAGGCTGATATGACTGCACCTGGAGCTGAGTCTTCATCTACATCTACAGCACCAATGCCATTACTTGGGGATGTCCAGACAGGGTCAAACTCATTTTCAGGTTTCACTGTGACCCTTACAATTGCTGTTCCCGTGTTGGGTGCCCCCTGGTCAGGCTTGTCCACTGCTGTGATGACCAGGGTGTACATGTAGCCTGATGCTTCTAGAGCTTCATAGTCAGCAGGGTTGGAGTCTGTAAGAAGCTGAAGTCCGGACATCTTGAAGATACCGGCCCCACCGTCTCCACTGGCAACCGTGACGTCATACAGAGCGTTGTTACCAGTATCCCCATCGGAACACGTCAGATCCAACAACGAGAGATCTAATACATTTGAAATAGCTCTGGTAAGTTCGATCATAGGGTTTTTAATTACATGCTAGTTCGGTCTTGTTTAAATCGCTGTTACATAGATAATAGTGTACAGAATATATTAACAAATTCACACAAAGATATCTTTTCAGAGAACCACGAGCCAGGTTTCTAGCATGCCAAAGGGATACAACCTTGCAAAGCGAATCGCAGCGCCTTATACCACGGGACCAGGCTCACATCCTAGTTTCTACTGTCAAGCTAAATGCATACAACATTATACACATTTATAACACGTGGTTCGCGTGTCTCAGTATTTGCAATGAAGAACACCATTGCCCACCTGCAGCACTGTTTTCAGGTATCTCTACGCTGAACTCTGATGTGTCGAAGACTGGTGTCAAATCATTGATGTCCTCTACAGTGATGGAGAAAGCCTGAGTGTCCTGTAGTCCTCCCTGGTCAGTTACGGTCAAGGTGAGGTCCAACTGAGTCTTGCCGCTGCTTCCATCTCTGTCGATATGTTGTGCTACGGACAGCTCCCCAGTGCTGGGGTCAATGTTTAGGTAGCTGCTGTCAGCACCTTGCGAGAAGAAGAATAAGGTGACTATTTGTCCGTAAATATACACAATAAGTATCCATTGCTATTAATAACGTGCGTTCCATGATAAATGCAAATGTGTATTACTTGTACCGTGTGTTCGTCTGTATGGCATGTGTTACAGTATAGTATTGCAACAACAGTCATGATATATCTGTGTTTAATTGATTTGCCTTTGCATGTATGCGTGACGAGTTATGCCGGTGGGGCAGCGTATGCTCACCTTCAGACGAATAACTGATATCATCAGTATCTGATGGTGATTCATAAACACACCTGTTGAAATATTTTGAATTGGACAATGGACTCTTTCGCAAAATATATTATTAGGATGTTTGGAAATATCTTTAATGCGTTTTATCTATTCAGTGAAATCCTGAACTACGAACTAATTTTAACTCAGTATGTGTTTAAGAGGCTTTAACGTCTGGTTCATGCGAATTCCGCATCTGTGGTCAGATATAGTCACACCGATTGTCTTGAACTAAGAATAAAAGAAAAAACCCATGTATATATGCTATGATTATCACACTTCCCGTGAAATCACAAAATGTTCAACGTTTTCTCATACCACTTAGAGCATATGTGATTGTGTCGTTTGCATCACCATCAGTGGCAGCATATCCGCCATACACTCCTGTTCCTATTGCTTGTTCTTCTGCCATGGATGCAGCGGCAACAACCACAATAACAGGTGTCTCGTCGCTTGCATCCTGGACGTTGATTTGGAGGGGAACATCTGCATTAAAGACCCCGTCACTAGCCCTACAAACAAAAGAATGTCACATGTTGTGTTTTTACCTTTTCAAAATTCAATGTGCTCCTTTGACAGAATTCCACAATCGATGCGAGAGGGGGGAGATAGGGAGAGCGAGAGAGAGAGAGGTAGAGAGAGAGAGGAAGTGAGGGAGAGAGGAAGTGAGGGAAAATCTAACGTTAATTCAGCAGTATTTCAGCCATATCGTGCGACTGAAAGTGAGTGAGAGAGAGATGAAGAGAGGGGGTAGACATAGGGGATATAGAGAGAGCGAGCGAAAGAGGAATAAAGAGGAGTGGGGAGAAAGAGAGGTGAGGTAGAGAGGGAAGAGAGAAAATGAATAACAAATACCTGATAGTAATAACATGGTACGTGTCTGTTTCGTAGTCCAGAGGGGCCTTGACCTTGACCTCATTTCCAACACACTCAAACAGATCATCCCGTCCACTGGCTACAGACAGAGTCACTGCATCACCATCAAAGTCTTCAGTGTTGAGGGCGATCACTGTTGTACCAACTGCACTAGCTTCACTCACACTAGCTGTGTAGTCGGTTTGGTCAAAGGTCGGGGCGTTGTCGTTGACGTTTGTTAATGTAACAACGATGCTGCCATCCAGGGTCCGGGCTGTTGCTCCTTTGTCCGACGCCCTGACCAATACAGTGTAGCTGCTTTCTCCGTTAGTCCCTGTGTCCACATCCAGCTCTCCTGCCACCATCAGTTCTCCTGTAGAGGAGGCTATGGAGAACTTGTCTGGTGCTGAAGCTCCTGATGCTGTTAGAATACAATGAAAGAGTCACCTCATGGAAGGCGTTCATAACGATGTGAATAATGTTGGACTCATCCATTTGGCTTTCACAAAGAGAATAGAAGATTTTGAATTAATATTCACTTTTAAACCGGTTATAACACAGGGTTATAAAATTTAAGGGTACACATATTTTAGTTCGCGAGTAGAGCATTCCTTACCTGCAGTCACAGACGCAATGGTGTAGATGACGTCACCGTCGTCGCCGAGATCAGCATCAGTTGCAGTGAAGGATGTAACGACAGTCCCTGGTGCATCACCTTCACTGACTGTAGCCCCTGCAAAGTTACCGCTGCCATCGGGAACTGGATTACTCCACACAGGGTCGAACTCGTTCTGTGGTTTTACCGTCACCTTCACTATCGCTGTCCCCGTGTTGGCCTCCCCCTGGTCTGGTGTGTCCACTGCTGTGATGACCAAGGTGTACATGTAGCCTGATGATCCGAGAGCTTCATAGTCGGCAGGGGTAGAGTCCGTGAGAAGCTGAAGTCCGGACATCTTGAAGATACCTGCTCCACCATCTCCACTGGCAACCGTGACGTCATATAGAGCGTTGTTTCCTGTATCTCCATCAGAACACGTCAGATCCAGCAACGACACATCTGGAATAAAATGGTAAATCACCAACTCTGACGCCAGATGACACCATTTGACATTTGACCCCAGAAAATGTCGTTTTCCATCAATTTACAAATTCGACTGTGGATATAAAAGGCCAAAATGGTGTTAAGAATTAGTTGAAACAATGAAACAGATCATTGAAAATCTTTACGTTTCGCATTCCTTGCCAAATATTATTGGCGTATATGTGACAGTGAATGGATGGATGATATGTATTCCCCTGTGGGAAATACTCCGCACAGCTTGAGAGCGAAAAACGTGCTCAGTATGTTCCCATGTGCGGAATCAAATGTAGCCATGCTTTAAAATACAAGTCTATTGCACCTGGTAAACTGTAATATCAGCTATATTTTCGGCACCATCAGCTCTTTTCGGCTAGTTTGCTGTCTTGATTCTACGGAACGACTGCTTACCAGCGGCTGAATTTTCTGTAAGTTCCGCAGTGAACTCTGAAGGATTAAAGACGGGTGGCAAGTCATTGATGTCCTCTACCGTGATGGAGAAGGCCTGAGTGGCCTGTTGACCTCCCTGGTCAGTGACGGTCAAGGTGAGGTCCAGCTGGGTCTTGCCACTGCTCCCTTCTCGGTTGACATTCTGGGCAACTGACAACTCCCCAGTGGCAGAATCAATACTTAGGTAACCACTGTCAGCTCCTGTTGTAAAGAGTGATCAACACTATAATGTGTATCGTCCTTACATTAGAACCACTTTATCTGTCCCCTCTTAGGCCGACAATTCTATTTTACATCATATACTTGAGACTGCACCTTAGCAGAATCAACACTGAGATAACCGATGTCAGTTCCTTTTGTAAAGAGTGAAGAACATGTCCTGTGGCTCAGACTTTTGTAAGTTGCCCTTACGTTATTTCCGCTATATGTACATGTGTCCCTTTCAAAAACCGACATTTTAGATAAAAATCAAATACTGTAGATTACACCCTAGCAGAATCAAAACGTTGGTAAATGCTGTCAGCTCCTGTTGTAAAACGATCAAGTAACTAATAGCTATATCCATACGTGACGCTTTTCCAGAGTGTTGTTAAGGTGCTGTTGTAATTGCGAATTAAATTATTAAATACAAATACTGGTTACAATTACCCGGGTAAATTTAACAACTGAAATATCCAGTTATGTATTATATCGTTATTACATTATATGTACAGTATAAAACAACCATTGTTATATTTAATTCTGAATTACAATGTGTTGATGGGCACCTAGTCTAGTCCCTCCTTTTAGAGACAAAACCAAAGTTACCAGTGGATCTCGTTGCTATTATCGTTCAGACACGTTTGCTTTGCGTGTAGTTGTACATGACTGCTATGTCAGTAATGTACCACACAGTAATGCGCCAGCAGGTATATATTGTATTACGATAAATAAGTTGCACAACTATTTCCACAATCATAACAAATCTGTTTTAAAGGCAAAATAATTTTACGATCATGGCTATTTCATAAGAATAAGTCTTTCTTTATACCTGACAGGGCATATGTATGAGTATCTCCAGCATCAGGGTCGGTGACCAGGTACCCCCCATACACTCCAGTTCCTAGAGCCTGTTCTTCTGCCATGGTGGCTGTTGCTGCCATGGTGATGACAGGATCTTCATCACTGACATCCTGGACCTTGACTTGGACGGGAACATCAGTCTCAAAGACACCATCACTGGCTCTGGAAGTGGATGTCATGCTTCAGGTTAAAGAAAGATGAATGGTCTTAAAACATTTAAACCGTGCAGACAAAGATATGCCATTTTGTCCATTCAGTCTCCAAGAGCGAAAGGCATTTGTTTTTGTAATATCCGCAACCGCCGTTAACACTGACTGGTCTATTAACAAATATGAAACTTTTCACATTAAGTCTTTGAAAAGGCGGTGGGTAGCCTAGTAGTTAAAGCTATCGCTCGTCACGCCGAAGACCCGGATTTGATTCCCTACATGGGTACATTGTATGAAGCCCATTCCTTGTGACTCCCGACGTGATGTTGATGGAGTATTGTTACAACCGGCGAAAGACTCGCCCCCTCAATCTTTGAAAATGCAAATTCAGACTTAATGGTGCATAATTGAAATTATTTATAGCAAAACATGCCTTGGCACAAAACGATTTGTGACATAATTATAATAAAAGATCAAAGTAACTCCCCGAATATTCCAGGTGCATTGGATATTAGGCATCATTAAGTCAAGAAACATATGAATGATTTGCAGTGATACTAAAATGAGTGAGTGAGTTTAGTTTAACTCAGCAATATTCCAGCTATATGGCGGCGATCTGTATATAATCGAGTCTGGACCAGACAATCCAGTGATCAACATCATGAGCATCGATCTGCACAATTGGAACCGATGACATGTGTCAACCAAGTCAGCGAGCCTGACCACCCGATCCCGCCTCGTACGACAAGCATGGGTTACTGAAGGCTCATTCTAACCCGGACCTTCACGAGTGCACTGACACTAAAAGACATCCAACATGCATACCGTATTATCAACACGTGATTAGCGTCGGTCTCAAAATCCAAAGCTGCTTTGATCTTCACACTATTCCCCACACACTCAAACAGATCATCTCGTCCACTTGCGACTGCCAGCGTTACCGCATCACCATCATGATCATCAGTTGTGAGGGTAATTACAACTGTTCCAACGCTGGCATCCTCATCCACATCTACACTGTAGTCAGTCTGATCATAAAAAGGGGCGTTGTCATTGACATTCGTGAGTGTGATAGCTATAGACCCGTCCACATGACGAGATGATGTTCCACCATCTGAAGCTCTGACCCCTATAGTGTAACTGGATTCTCCGTTCGTCCCCGTGTCTACGTCCAACGCTCCTGCAACCGTCAACTCCCCTGTTGTGGGGTCGACAGAGAACTTGTCTGTTGCGGTAGCTCCGGAAGCTGTAATAGTACACATGCATGATCAAATGTCAGGCTTGGATCTTGCTTGATGCACGTCATCCCAAATACTCAATCGATGTTTAAGATCACAAACAACAAAGAAAATAAATGATATTTCCTCTACATGATACTAATTTTTGTTTTGTTTTTGATGATCTTTTATGACATAAAAATGACTTTAGAACGTCACGCTTCATTTAACCATACATCGATGTTTCTTTCACAAATTTTAGTAGTGTGAGCGTAATTGTAAATCACATAAATACGTTGTCATATAAGAGAATAAAATATCTACTGAGATGAAACTAGCGCCCCCTCGTTAGTGTTCCGTTATGTCATTTTTGTCGGTTTAGGCAAGCTCAGTGAATTGTCAGACCATTGGTCCTAATCGGAGCGAATTTAGGATTCGAAGACTTGCAACGTCATACAAGTGGATCCCCTTCGCCTACCTCCTGTTACCGACGTGATACTGTATGTGATCCCCCCATCCACTCCAAGATCAGCATCAGTCGCCTGGAATGTTATGATCACGTATCCCGGAGCTTCTCCTTCACTGACTGTATCTCCTACAAAGGTTCCACTTCCATCTGAAGCAGGTCCTGTCCACACAGGGTCGAACTCGTTCTCTGGTTTGACCGTCACCTTCACTATCGCTGTCCCCGTGTTGGGTGCCCCCTGGTCAGGCTTGTCCACTGCTGTGATGACCAAGGTGTACATGTAGCCTGATGACCAAAGAGCTTCATAGTCAGCGGGGGTGGAGTCCGTGAGAAGCTGAAGTCCGGACATCTTGAAGATACCTGCTCCACCATCTCCACTGGCAACCGTGACGTCAAACAGAGCGTTGTTACCCGTGTCCCCGTCAGAACAGGTCAGATCAGCCAGTGCAGTGTCTATGAGAATGAAAAATGAGTGTTTTAACTTTAAGGATAATGCATGCACACTGCACTCTTCTCTGCCTTTCATTTGCAATCATTCATTTCGGACCTATGATTGTTTACAGAAGCTACAATTCTCGTGAGTTTCAGTTCTCGTGGTGAACGTTAACCATATCATGTTGTGCATGTATAATAACAGAAAGGAGCCAATAAGGAAGCTGAAAAATATTAATTAGTATCCAGAATCTGTCTTAAGTTCACCAGACCGGGATCCTTGTCTTTAACACTTAACGTCCATCACCTTACTATTTCAGGAAAATAAGACTGTAACTGACACAATGGAACAGAGCAGAACTTACTTTCAGCCGAATTTTCTGTGACTTCAACTTCGTATACATTTAGGATGAAAACAGGGAAGAGGTCATTGATGTCGTCGACAGAGATGGTTATTGTTTCTGATGCTTGGTTGGAGACTGTGTCAGTCACTGTTACTGTGAAGACCACTTGTGTCAGTCCGCTGTCGTAATCCACGTTCTGGGCGATAGTCAGTTCCCCTGTGCTGGAGTCAATGGTCAGATAGGTGCTCCCGGATCCTAGATAACCACAATGAGATCATAAAGTTCGAGGGGTGGATTAGTTGGTACAGCACAGCGTTCGCGCGAGAGACTGCGATCGATTGCTCACAATGTTAAATGTTGGGTATCATCCTCCTGTTCCTAAGTCTAACAGGGACATGGTAAGAAGGATAAGGAAAGGGGGTGCGGACAGGGGAGGGGCGTGGAGGAGATGTGGGAGCGGAGGAAAAATGGAATGGGCTCCAAAATGACCAAGTGTATTAGTTTAACACTCAAAGATAAAAATAAAAAGAGATGTGAGGTGAGGTGAAATTGGGTTTAACGTCGTGCTTGAGAATATTTTGCTCATATGACGACGTGCATGCGTGTGTATGTGTATGTGCGGCTGCTTGTACTAGCCCAGACTGAAGCTGGTTTTATAGTGCTAGCCCACTGAGATACCATGCCGCAGTGAAGCATGAATACCCCACTCAGACACATTATACTGACTCCGAGCCGAGCAGTCCTTGCTGTACCCATTAATGCCGAGCGCCAGGCAGGGACCAACAAGTACCATATTTTAACGTCTTTTGGTATGAAGCGGTCGGGGATCGAACCCGCGACCTTCCGCTCTCCGGGCGGACACTCTAACCAGTACACCACGGAGGCGGTCCAATAAGAGAGGTATCCTTTCACACGGAACCTAGTGGATGCATCGAAAGCCTCCTATAGCCTTTACTATTTTGTTTGTTTGTTTATATCCGCAATCAGCAATATCCTAGCTATATGCCTGCGCTCTGTAAGCGATCGAGTCCGGACCAGGCAATCCAGTGATCAACAGCATGAGCATCGATACCGTTTACTGACATGTCATTAAATACTGTATATGATATGTGTAACTCTACAAGTCACAGATGGCGAGGTAGTCTGGTTGACACGCAGTAAGTCGTCTAGTGGTTGGTCTATTTCAAGTTACTTAGAAGTTTATGTATATATTGCTAAAGGGGCTATATAATCAAACCTAGCTCGCTTACCACTTATGGCGTATGTCAGTGTATCCGAAGCATCTGGGTCGGAGGCGACAAATCCCCCAGACACCCGAGTTCCAATGGTTTGTTCTTCTGCCATTGAGGTGCTGGATACAAGTGTGATTGCAGGGATCTCATCAACAATGTCCTGGACATTCACAACTAGCGGAACGTCGGACCAATAAGTGCCGTCACTGACCCTGGTAAAATATATATCGAGAATCATGTACTGGAGTGAGTGAGTGAGTGAGTGAGTGAGTGAGTCGATGGATGGAAGATACACGTTTGAAGGTCCTAAGTCTTCGGTGACAGCATTTAGCGTGGATATGATACTGATGAAACATGATTCATATTTGGGGAGAATCTACGATTCAAACTTATCACCTAAGGATCCTGGAGTGACTGATGCCTATATGGCTTCCGATCGCTTGACCATTGGAGCCCCATCTCCACAGCAAGAATGATAAAGACGTTTACTACTTTTGTGAAACTAATATGCAAGGTGACAGTGTTGACAAACCAAGAATCATTATCAAGGACAATCAATGATTTTATGTCAAAGGGACACAACTCGTCACAGACTACTGCATCTCTAAAGACAAGGCCAGCCATGCACCCTTCATTTCCTCTCAAATAATAGCGACGAACATTACGAACTGACTAAGGAAGGGATGATCACTTATAGAGCGAAGTGAATAAGGCAATATGCGTCTTTCACTTATATATTCTAGGAATGCGTGCGAGCATTATTTAAGTAAGAACAAAACCTGTAAATAAAAGTCCATTGACTACCAATCACGGCGTTGCACGATCTGTGTATGGGATGACGAGTTATTGGTAATAGCTGTCGCATAGAACCAAACGTGCTACTTTATGAAACTAAGAACTATGAATCCTTAAAATGCGCAGGTTTACTTGTAAAGCTAGGGTACATTATGTTTAACCGACCCGCCGTTTAACCCTGGCCTCTGTTATGATATCAATTATGATGTGGAAGTTAGGGATACCATCACCTGATGAACGAGTAAGAATATACTCCCAAATGTCGTGTTCTCAGAAGATGTCCATACCATTTTCCCCATTTTGGTGTATCACTTCTAACCCGATTCAAATTTTAAAGAGAATAATTAGAAACCAACCTGAGGACGAGAACATGGTATTGGTTGGCTTCATAATCCAGGGACGAAGCCACGTCTACAGAACTCCCCTGGACCTCAAACAGGCCATCGTCGTTCCCACTCTGTATCGTCAGGGTCAGGGAATCTCCATCATGGTCAGCTGTAGTAGGTGCAAGCACAGTGACAGCACTGCCTTCATCAACGTCGACTGCGTACTCACTCTGGTCGAAGAAGGGAGTGTTGTCATTGACTTCTGTGACGGCCACAGAAAATGAACCTGTTACGGACTTGGGAGTTGCGCCGTTGTCGGAGACACTGAAGGAGACGGTGTAGCTGCTGACGCCACCGGTAACAGCATCTGCATCAAGTTGACCGCCGACCTTTACTTCTCCGGTACTGGCGTCCACGGTGAAGAGTCCCGTTCCAGAGGCTGACAAACAGGATGATTTGAATTTCAGGACATTTTAGCAGCGTTCATTTTAATCTTTGTAATGTTTGACTATAGTTTTGTATATATAACTTGTGAGAATTAGTGTACCTTGTACAGGTTTCCACTTACAATGCTTTCGATTTTTGTATGCAATGGAAATTTGTATATCAATTTTAAGATTTGTATATCTTTCTAGTTGGGTAGTATTGTTTCAGATTTTTCTTAACAACAAGATTTAAAGAATTAAATATACATGCAGTTGAAACAGAACAATTGATAAATTTGGGTTCAACGCTCCTTTGAATATTTTCCTGTAAGATACGTATTGGAGGAAAAGCAGGTGATCTTGGTGCTAAAAGTTGTTGAAACCATCGAGCACATGTGATTCTGGCACACCACGATTCATAATCAGGGCGACTTTGGGATTCGAACATCGCCGTACATAGTATTACGGTAGCGTGAACGACAGAGCCATCCGTCGTCCTGTAAAACCCTAACCCTCCCCTCTTCGTGACTAAACAAAAATTATTATCAATAATAACAGTGGATATTTGTAAATCGCCAGTGTCCACCCACTGATGCATGCTCATGGCGCATTAAAAGTATTCACAGAAGAAGGGAAAAGGACAGTTGAAGGCTTTAGTAAAAAGGAGAGTCTTCAGTGCCTTCTTAAAAGAGTCATGGGTCGGGGCGATTTTGATTTGGAGCGGTAGACAGTTCCATAAGAGTGGGGCAACATGCTGAAACTTTTCTTTCCAAAAGAGGAGAGCCGAGGTTCGGGAACTATCAGGAGATGTTGATCCTGGGTACGCAGAGTTCTGGAAGGCACATACTGTGGGTTAGGAGAGATGAGAGATATGACGGGGCAAGGTTGTTGAGCCACAAGTCTGTGCACAGAACTCTGAAGTCAACTCGGTATTGAACAGGAAGCCAGTGCAAAGGTTTTTAATTTGCACTGGCTCCATGTAAGTGGAGTGGGGTGCAAGTTCAAGTGTCAAGATTTGCGAGATATTCAAAAGTGTTCGTGTAATGCTTTATGTAATGGAGCAGTTAACTGTAACTCATATCCTTATGTAGCCATCGGGCTTCTGTACCAAAGAGAACACCTATTGGTAGGGAGTGTGTGTTTCATGTCAACTGATATGATTGACAAGACACAACACCAGATGTGTCTGTTTCTAGCTCAATAGGTTCATTGTTCACACCCGACAGTACATCAAGATAATATGGACTTGTTGTTTAGCCAGGAAGACCTACGGGTATCGTGAGACGACCTGCACACGCGAAGGAAAGACGTGTTGTGCTTTACAAGACAGTTAGTCAGCAACCTAAATATAGTTTTATAGTTTGAAGCTGTCCAAGAATTATGGCAATGTGCGTACAGTCACCTTCATATAGAGAAAGCCTTTCTCACTCTTCAGTCACGCTGTCTGGTCTTGGCAGCTTACTTGTCGACACAACTATTTGTTTATGTGGTATGATTACATTCATTTCTTTCGCAAGTAATAGAATAGAATAGATACAAAGTCGTTTTGAGATAATTTTCAATTTCAACGTGTTGAACATGTCAAATGCTCATTAAGAAAAGGAAAAAAGTATGGATGTATATAAAAATGTGGCTGAGATGCAAGATACAAGTTTAAGCGACTTTATGCATGTAATTTGGGAAATTCAAATCCTAGGTAATGTCATTAACATTTCTGAGTATTACATAGTGAATATGTTGGCGGGATATCGACTTGACTGACCCATTCAATTTGATCGTTGTCAGTATAGACATTGAAAACAAATGTGTGCATTAATGAAGACCATGTATCAAGAAATGTAGGTTTGTTAATGGCTACAATCAGGTGATATAGATATAGTGATTACCACAATCAGGTGATATAGGCATAGTGATGACTACAACCAGGTGATATAGACATGGTGATGACTACAACCAGCTGATATAGGCATAGTGATGACCACAACCAGCTGATATAGACATAGTGATGACCACAACCAGGTGATATAGGCATTGTGATGACCACAACCAGCTGATATCGACGTGGTGGTGGTCACAACCAGGTGATATAGGCATAGTGATAACTACAACCAGGTGATATAGGCATAGCGATGCATACAACCAGGTGATATAGACATGGTGATGACTACAGCCAGGTGATATATACCTGGTAATGACTACAACCAGCTGATATAGGCAAAGTGATGACAACAACCAGGTGATATAGACCTGGTGATGACCACAACCAGCTGATATAGACATGGTGATGACTACAACCATTTGATATAGACCTGGTGATGACTACAGCCAGCTGATATAGACATGGTGATGACCACAACCAAATGATATCGGCATAGTGATGACTACAACCAGGTGATATAGACATGGTGATGACTACAACCAGCTGATATAGGCATAGTGATGACCACAACCAGCTGATATAGACATGGTGATGACTACAACCAGCTGATATAGGCATAGTGATGACTACAACCAGGTGATATAGACATGGTGATGACTACAACCAGGTGATGCAGACCTGGTGATGACTACAACCAGGTGATATAGACCTGGTGATGACTACAACCAGATGATATAGGCATAATGATGACTACAACTAGATGATATAGGCATAGTGATGACTACATCCAGGTGATCTAGGCATAGTGATGACTACAACCAGATGTTATAGGCATAGTGATGACTACAACCAGATGTTATAGGCATAGTGCAGACTACAACCAGGTGATATAGGCATAGTTATGACTAAAACCAGGTGATATGGGCATAGTGATGACTACAACCAGGTGATATAGACCTGGTGATGGCCACAACCAGGTGACATAGACCTGGTAATGACTACAACCATTTGATATAGACCTGGTGGTGACCACAAGCAGGTGATATAGACCTGGTGATGATTACAACCAGCTGATATAGACCTAGTGATGACTATAACCAGCTGATACAGGCATAGTGGTGACCAGAACCAGGTGATATAGGCATAGTGATGACAACATCCAGGTGATCTAGGCATAGTGATGACTACAACCAGGTGATATAGACCTGGTGATGACCACAACCAGGTGATATATATAAAAGCGGCTTAAAAACCATACTCGCACACTCACTCATGCTAACCGATGATGTCACAATGGTCTACAAAACACTGTGATACAAATTCCATATGTCCTTTAACTAACCCAATTTTGGATGATAAACTGGTTTAAAACCTGTATGTATACCATGGAATGTGACTTACTTGGCGTCACAGAGTCAATGGCGTATGTGAGAGCGCCATCTTGGCCCAGGTCCTCATCAGCTGCCAGGATGGTGGTGATGACGGTCAGTTCATCCGTGTTTTCAGGGATGCTGCCTGCTGACGGAGTAGAGATCAGATAGGGGGTGTGCTCGTTGACAGGTGCAATCTGTGTGAACATAGGTACAGTCAGCAAGAGGTGTTGTCGTATATAGCAATACTATTTACAGAGTCGAACCACCGACATTCCGCCCTCTGGGAAGACGCTCTACCCACTAGACCATGATGGCAGAGAAGTTGTGAAATATATGATTTATCGTTTATACACTCGCCTATGTTTTTAAAGCTTCAAACCAAGTGTTAAACCGGTATCACCCCATTATTATTTTGGGGAAGAATTTGATAAAAAAGTTCCATGTTTGTTGTCAGAGTTGGTGATATGGCTTAAATTCCGCTTTGTAAAAGTAATTCAGTTTTAGCAAGGTGGATCAGTTCTTAGTGGGCGACATTCCCTTTTAGACAAACCCAACATAGCGAAATTTCTAAAACGGGATTCGAACCCGCCCCACCATAGGAATGCAACCCTTCACAGCGAATTGTTTTACTATTGACTGTTCGGGTACATGTAAGCCCGTAGTCAGCCAGCTGATGATTATCAGGTTGCCAGACGCTTGTCTCGATTGTGTCTAGTCCAAATGTGCCTGATATATTGCCGATGTTTAGCAATATCATTAACTGTAATTTTGATAATACAACCCGTATAATTGAGCCTCATAGGTCTTCAGCAAACCATGTTTGTCGTGAGACGTGGTCGTTTGTAAGGCTCGCTGACTTGGTTCAAGCATATCATCGATCGTATCCGATTGTGTAGATCGATGCCCGTGATGGCATCACTTGATTGCCTGACCCGTCTCAACGGCCAGCCGTAATATATCTGTAATGTCTCTGAGTGCGGTGTTTAATATTACACAAACTACAACGTGTCTTCACCAACCTCAACCAGTATCCCACCAACCTAGTCAAGAGGACCATCTCCATCACGCTCCAGGACAAACCCAAACTGACGAAGCATGAAGCCGCCCCCATTAGAGTTACCCTTCCTTATATTGGCAAGGCCTCCAACCAAATCCGCAGACTTCTCAAGCACCAAGCAGCTATCGACACCATCTTCTCTGGCTCTCCAACCCTCAGGACCATTCTCCAGGCCAATGGCCGTAATCCACCCTCCACTAAGCAACCCCCTAAAGGAGTGATTTACAAGATTAACTGTGAATGTGGTGATTCTTATATAGGTGAAACCTCCCGTCCCGTTGACGTCCGCATGAAAGAACATAAAACCTCTACGGCTAAGGCAGACAGCAAATCAGCCCTCTCAGATCACCAGCAAACGTTCCCTACCCATCAAATCAAATTTGACGAATTCAAAGTCCCATCAACCAGTAATCAGGACTTCACAAAAAGAAAACTGTTGGAAGCCATCGAAATCTGCCGCCACAAACCTCTGATCAACCGTGGCCAAGGATACTACATCCCATCAGCCTATGAAGAATTAATCAAGCTATAGACCATCAATAGCACCTTGTCTATTTGTTTTTACTACTTAATCCCCCTGTTTATTGGGTTCATCCCTAGTGCTATTTGTTGTTTTTAGTACCCTACTGGCCTCTTCCAATTATGTACCACTTGTTCTCTGTTCTATTACATGCTGTTGTTAATGTTAATCTGCTGCTTGTCACAAACTACCATGTATATATGCTCCTCACCATTTGGTTGTACTCACTTTTAGCTTGATAACGATGTAAGAATCTGCATCGAAACGTCGCTCAACGCAAATAAACCAGAAGTTGTCATCCATAAAGTTGTATGTTTCATTACACAAACAAACCAACAAACAAAATTTAAACAAACGTGTACATAACGCAAAAAGATAATGCATTCACCTTCACGACAACAGCAGCTGTCCCTGTCAGTGGGTCTCCTAAAGGGGGACTGTCAACAGCTTGGAGTACCAACACATACTTAAAATCGTTCGCTTCCCGAGTCTCGTAATCCAGCGTGGCGGCAATACTCAGAACGTCACCGCTAAGACTGAAGGAAAACCCGGATGTGGCACCATCTTGTGAGAAAATTGACTTTGAAATTCCTTGATTGCCAACGTCGTTGTCTGTGACAGCTACCGTGAGGATGTCGCCTTAAAGAGAGTGTGTACAGGGATGCACCAGTCGCTGATTGGACGTATGGCTGAACTACTTCATGCAAGCACGATACCAACATGTTTGTCTTAGCTAATGTTCACACAATGTTAGGATGGTTATCGTATCATATGGTGTTATATTTGCATAACGATACATTTGACTTGTACCATTTTATTTGACTTGCATACAAGTAATGTAATCCTATTTATATGACAGAAACGTCAGTATTATATCTCACTAACATAACGTCAGTATTATATCTCACTAAAATAACGTCAGTATTATATCTCACTAGCACAACGTCAGTATTATATCTCACTAACATAACGTCAGAATTATATCTCACTAACATAACGTCAGTATTATATCTCACTAACATAACGTCAGTATTACTCTCACTAACATAACGTCAGTATTATATCTCACTAACATAATGTCAGTATTATATCTCACTAAAATAACGTCAGTATTATATCTCACTAGCACAACGTCAGTATTATATCTCACTAACATAACGTCAGTATTATATCTCACTAGCACAACGTCAGTATTATATCTCACTAGCACAACGTCAGTATCATATCTCACTAGCACAACGTCAGTATTATATCTCACTAGCACAACGTCAGTAGTATATCTCACTAGCACAACGTCAGTATTATATCTCACTAGCACAACGTCAGTATTATATCTCACTAAGACAACGTCAGTATTATATCTCACTAACATAACGTCAGTATTATATCTCACTAGCACAACGTCAGTATTATATCTCACTAAGACAACGTCAGTATTATATCTCACTAGCACAACGTCAGTATTATATCTCACTAGCATAACGTCAGTATTATATCTCACTAACATAACGTCAGTATTACATCTCACTAACATAACGTCAGTATTATATCTCACTAGCACAACGTCAGTATTATATCTCACTAGCACAACGTCAGTATTATATCTCACTAGCACAACGTCAGTATTATATCTCACAAAGACAACGTCAGTATTATATCTCACTAGCACAACGTCAGTATTATATCTCACTAACATAACGTCAGTATTATATCTCACTAACATAACGTCAGTATTATATCTCACTAGCACAACGTCAGTATTATATCTCACTAGCACAACGTCAGTATTATATCTCACTAGCACGTCAGTATTATATCTCACTAACATAACCTCAGTATTATATCTCACTAACATTACGTCAGTATTATATCTCACTAGCACAACGTCAGTATTATATCTCACTAACATTACGTCAGTATTATATCTCACTAACATTACGTCAGTATTATATCTCACTAGCACAACGTCAGTATTATATCTCACTAACATAACGTCAGTATTATATCTCACTAACATAACGTCAGTATTATATCTCACTAACATAACGTCAGTATTATATCTCACTAACATAACGTCAGTATTATATCTCACTAGCACAACGTCAGTATTATATCTCACTAACATAACGTCAGTATTATATCTCACTAACATAACGTCAGTATTATATCTCACTAACATAACGTCAGTATTATATCTCACTAACATAACGTCAGTATTATATCTCACTAACATAACGTCAGTATTATATCTCACTAACATAACGTCAGTATTATATCTCACTAACATAACGTCAGTATTATATCTCACTAACATAACGTCAGTATTATATCTCACTAACATAACGTCAGTATTATATCTCACTAGCACAACGTCAGTATTATATCTCACTAACATAACGTCAGTATTATATCTCACTAACATAACGTCAGTATTATATCTCACTAACATAACGTCAGTATTATATCTCACTAACATAACGTCAGTATTATATCTCACTAGCACAACGTCAGTATTATATCTCACTAACATAACGTCAGTATTATATCTCACTAACATTACGTCAGTATTATATCTCACTAGCACAACGTCAGTATTATATCTCACTAACATAACGTCAGTATTATATCTCACTAACATAACGTCAGTATTATATCTCACTAACATAACGTCAGTATTATATCTCACTAACACAACGTCAGTATTATATCTCACTAGCACAACGTCAGTATTATATCTCACTAACATAACGTCAGTATTATATCTCACTAGCACAACGTCAGTATTATATCTCACTAACATAACGTCAGTATTATATCTCACTAACATAACGTCAGTATTATATCTCACTAACATAACGTCAGTATTATATCTCACTAACATAACGTCAGTATTATATCTCACTAGCACAACGTCAGTATTATATCTCACTAGCACAACGTCAGTATTATATCTCACTAACATAACGTCAGTATTATATCTCACTAACATAACGTCAGTATTATATCTCACTAGCACAACGTCAGTATTATATCTCACTAACATAACGTCAGTATTATATCTCACTAACATAACGTCAGTATTATATCTCACTAGCACAACGTCAGTATTATATCTCACTAACATAACGTCAGTATTATATCCTCACTAGCATAACGTCAGTATTATATCTCACTAACATAACGTCAGTATTATATCTCACTAACATAACGTCAGTATTATATCTCACTAACATAACGTCAGTATTATATCTCACTAGCACAACGTCAGTATTATATCTCACTAACATAACGTCAGTATTATATCTCACTAACATAACGTCAGTATTATATCTCACTAACATAACGTCAGTATTATATCTCACTAACATAACGTCAGTATTATATCTCACTAACATAACGTCAGTATTATATCTCACTAACATAACGTCAGTATTATATCTCACTAACATAACGTCAGTATTATATCTCACTAGCACAACGTCAGTATTATATCCTCACTAACATAACGTCAGTATTATATCTCACTAACATAACGTCAGTATTATATCTCACTAGCACAACGTCAGTATTATATCTCACTAACATAACGTCAGTATTATATCTCACTAGCATAACGTCAGTATTATATC